TAAAAAGTTTTTCTGTAACATAGAATATGTAAAAATATAATTGTTCCGCGCACAAAAACAATACTCTTGCATAACTGAATATTGTCCTAGTATAAATTCCGTAATATTATTACCTGTTTCAAACCAGAAGTTGATTAAGCGCGGGATGTTACATATCGAGTAATTAGATCGTACATTCTATCCCAACGATCGTAAACAGTGAAACGGCAATGTTATGAAACTTTGTGAGTGTGAATGTCTTAGCATCTTTGGTCTCATGTCTTGGCATATAATTTATATTCAGATACATTTCTCTTAGCTCATTATTTCATCAAAGGTTATCGATTATGTTGTACAGAACTGTAAAAGTCTGCAATCGGTGTGCAATGTCATCGTGTGGGCGGCACAAAACTAATTGTTTTATAATTATTGTAATCAATTGCATGCTATGTTGATAGAGCTTTACATTGCATATTTTTATTCTGGATGTAATACAAAATATCCAGATTACAATCATATATAATATTCTTATATAATTTCTCATAATAATATATTATTAATATTATTAATATTATTAATATTAATAATAATATATTATTAATATCTTATATAATTTCTGATAATAACATATTATTTTAAGATAATTATATGCAGCTAAAGATTAAGAATATCAATCATGATTTTTATGTTTTAGGGAAATAATATACACTCAAAGCTTACCATGCAATCTTTCAGACACAATAATGTAACCTGATTAAACATTAACAAATATTAAAAATAATATTATTGAGTTTTTTGATGTTTATTAAATCGAGATAAACTTTAATAAATAACAAAGTTAAAAACTTCGATAAATTGATGTGTAAGCTTAGCATAAAAGAATAAGAAATTATTTTATTTTATTTCACGGGAACTTTCAAATTTCAGTAATTAAAAATTTGAGTAATAATAAAAGAAGTAATATATTTAATGATTTCTCTCTTTTTCTTTTTTTCCTTATATGTATATATAACTGATTATTATGAAAAGAATATATATCAGTAATCCTGTAATGCAATGTAATTGTGCGTAATTTATCTTGTCGCTTTTATCGATTCTTCAATCACCGCAAATCTCCCTCACGTAAAATGCATGCTCGTGTTCCAACACATCAAAGTTCCGGGTTGATAAGGAGATTAACGGTAAGAGATAATCGATCACTATTGAGAGTGATCGATTCGCGTGCACCAAAGTGATTGTTTCCATCGATTCACGCGAACGCTAATCATGGGAATAAAGAAGATTACGTAAAACAACTCACAAAAGAATCAGGAAAGATTTTAAATGTCAGCTCTATTCGACCTCCTTCTGAGGTCGCTTAGATCTATTTCAATCTTATGCTACATCATAAAAAGTGCTAGTATGTCGAGAATCGCAGATGCTTGAGTTGATGAATGAATCTGTTACGCTATTTGTTACGGTAAATACAATTAATAATAAGAACAATATTTCCAATATAGCGAGGCGAAATGCCATCGAATAGACAAATTTCTCACAATTCATCGTGATGGTGTGATAAATAACGTAAAAACAAAATTATGTATTTATATTTTCAATATTATTTATTGTCACGTATTGTTTTATTGTCGTAAATCGGATTATTTGAGGTCTCTCAAATTCTTAAATGAAGCTCTCACCTGCTGTACATTATGTACACATTTAATCTTATCAAAATCTATAATATCTATAATAAAATCTTTAGTTAAAATATATAAAAAGAATATTAGCAATAGCGAAGTATATAAATATAACGAAATATATAAAAAGAATATTAGCAACATCTCAATAATAGAGAAATAAATCAAGTCTAGTTTATTATCTGGATCAATAAAGTTCAATATAAACGTGACCTTAAAACTTGCGCGAGTCTGTAGCAGATAATGTAGCAAAGATACTTTTATTGACATTCATTTTAATCCTTTTACAATGCGGATACACAAGCACATGATTATCTTTATCGTTGCGGTATATAACCCTATAATTGTGTTTCCAATGATTGTATCGCATCATTGCTAAATTAGATAATACTGCAATCATTGAATCTGCATAACGATTATTGGGTAACAATGCAGATGTATTGTACGGGACATAAGTGCATTCACAGCGCATCTCGCTTCGAAAGCGTTCACCGCGACGGCACTCGTTGGCACTAAGCTATGCACAGATAAGTGGGTGTTTTCTATCTTTAGATTCCTTTCCGATTCACAGATTCCTCGTTCTAATGACACTTGCCGGAGCTACGACCTTGCCACCCAGGATGCTGCAGGATCTAGGTAAGCGCACAAACCTCTCTATGGAGAGATACAGCGAGGCGGAACGGACGATCATGAACTCGCAGACGCATCTCAGCCGAGATTCACCATCGTGGTTCCTTGGTGCATCTCACGAGATGACCGAAGGCGCTCAAACTCTCTCGAGGAAAGCCCTGCGGATTGAGACGATGGCGGTGATGCTCGTAGAAGCGTTTAATATGTCATCGGATCAAGCGTCCTTGCTTCTGCCAACGGTGACAGCCGTCCTCTGTCCAGACTCGCCCAGCTTCCTACGAGTGATGTCCGAGTGTAAAAAGACGGATGTCCGTTACAGAACACACACGGGTCGATGCAACAATCCGTTGCATCCGACTTGGGGTGCAGCGCTGGAGGCTTACGTGAGGTTTTTGCCACCAAAGTATGAGGACGGTGTTTCCCTGCCCCACACGAAGCTACCAAGTGCGAGAGAAATCTCCTCGAAAATACATTCCGGAGGATTGGACCTTAAGCATCCTCATTTAATGGCACTCACCGCGCTTTTTGGTCAATTCCTTGCTCACGATTTAGCGCATACACCCAGAATGGAATTGCCGGACGGCACTAGACTCAAGTGTTGTAATGTTGATTATGAGAATTTTCATCCAGAGTGCTTCCCGATCCGCGCGGAACAGCCGGTCGGTTGTATGGAGTATTCGAGATCGGCACCACATCCAGGAAGTTCATTACACGTAATTAAATAAAATCTCTTATATTTGAGAAATCTCTTAGATATCAATCCCTATGATTTATTCACATTACTATGCAAAAATTTTGATCCCAACATATTTTAATATCTTTTGAGATATGTGTAAGAATTGTCATTACAAGTTTGTTAAAAGAGCGCTAATATTTTAATTATGAGAATATAGCTATTTGAAAAGCGGATGTAAATGTTCTTTATCATAAAGATAATAAACGAAAAAGAAAAGTGAGATTATTGTCGTTACAGATTGTAACGCTAAATGTGTCCTGAAATTTGCAATATTTTTTTAAATTGAATTTTCAAGAAAATATTTTCAATTTTTGTGAACTAATAGTATTCCATTTTTAAAATCTTGATAAATTAATAATCTTACACGTTTTAGAGTTTTTGATATATTTCAAAAAGAGGTCTGATGATTAAATCAAAGAGAAGTTTCACATATATGTTAGCCATTTAATTTAGGGTTGCAAGTTGGGACCACGACAACAAACTAATCAGGCGTCTTCCTATCTGGATCTATCACCACTTTACGGTAGTTCCGAAGAGACGGCTAAAGCTCTACGATCAGGCAAAGGCGGTTTGCTAAATACACAGAGGAAGAATTTGCCGATGGCTTCGCCAAGATACGAGAGTTGTCGAAGCGCAAGTAAAGCATTTCCGTGTTTCTTTAGCGGCGATTCAAGGGTAAACGAGAATCCGGGTCTTACTTTGATGCACGTGTTATTCTTACGGGAGCATAACCGAATAGCTGCAAAACTTGAACGATTGAACCCTCACTGGGACGACGAAAGATTATATCAAGAAGCAAGGAGGATTGTTATCGCCGAGCTGCAGCATATAACTTATAATGAATTTCTACCCATCATTTTCGGAGAACGTGCCCTCGACAAGTACGTAATATTTCTCCTAAATTATATTTCATTTATAAGAAACGTAAACATAATCCGTTAAAATTATAGTAAATAACAGCCAATATATAACATTTGTTTGAACATTTAGAACCAGACTAAAAAATTATATGTTAATTATTATTGGATCAATGCATTTTATACTCTTTTATATTTGAGAGAGAAAGAGAGAGAGCTGTATTAAAATCAAGTTTCTCGATAATTGTAATGGCTTGATGCAATAATTTTATGGAGAAATCTATAATCATAAATTAAACTGACATTACATTCTGATGACTCTATTTAGTGTCTAACGTAACTTTCTATAGAAAAAGAAGTCATTACGAAAACCAATTGCAACAGCTGACATATATGATGGAAGATAGTTAAATGTTAATATATGAAAACTTGAGTTCATTTGTAACATATGCATGTGTATTATATTTTATGTAAGAGCATATATCAAATTCTCTTATAACTTATTTTTTCAACTTATTTCAATTGTTCGCATGTTTATAAACTAAATTATTATTTTTTATCTCATTCGAATTAATACCTTTTCCAAATCAATTTACAATGATCATGATTGTAATTCTTAATCGACTAAGCACTGATAATACTGATAATAGTTGCATTGATAATACTGATAATAGTAGTAATATCTTGAAAATTTAATTATTATTCTATTATTTAAAATGCAATTATTTAATTATTTAATTATTTAACTATAAAAAGAAATTCGAGAAAGAATCCCTTAGAAACAATGCCAAATTCTATGTATCATACGAGAAACATGACGTAATGAGATTACGTCACGTTACATCGACCCCCGCAATTTTCAAGACACAACTCACATCCATAAATAGTATCGCGTTCCTTATCTTTCGTTTTATTATGTGTGAAGATTCAACTTACGTTTGATGCAACGGGGCTTTTTCCGCGGCTACGACAGCCGCGTGGATGCGACGCTTTCGAACTCGGCAGCGTCGGCCGGGCTCTCCTTTGTCGCCGCACTGACTCCGAAAACTCTGGACCTGGTTGACTCACGATCATCGTTAAAATCTGGCGAAAGATCTTTACTATCAGCTTTTTATTCGCCGCAGGAATTCTACGAGGCTGGCGCGATCGATCGGTTGATTGTCGGAGCTACAGGTCAGTTGAAATTACTCGCCATCAAAATGCCAGGGTGACCCGAAATTTTATCGCGCATGATACTGAAATATAAAACAGAATATAAAAAATAAACTGTGAGAATAGTTACATATTTTAACTAAATATTCGTTAAAAAATGCTAACAGAAAAATTTTCTAAAATATTTTAATGTCATTAATTTATTGCGCGTTTATAATGAATATCATGATATGAGAAATTTTAAAGGAAGATTCGCGCAGCAATTTTATTTCTTAAACTACATTTTATTATCATATCTAAGATTTTATCCTTCGTTTATCATCTATAAATTATTATTCATAAATTAAAATGATATCTAATGTCCATTTTATTTTTTGTATATTTTTTAATTACTGTTTTAATTAAAATCCTGTTTTTTTACATTGGCAAATAATGAATGTCATTTAAATTATGCATCAAGAAGACTGCACAATATCGACAATCAAGCTAATTACGTTTCTTCCTATAGATAAAAATCATGTTACCTGTCACACTTCTAAGAACATTTAAAAAATAAAGGAAGTTATCTTGAATGGAGGAAAATGCATCCACGATGTATTTAGTATTTCATTATAATGAAATACATTCCAATCAAGCAGGGATTCTCATTACATTATAGTTTATAACGATAGGAATATCGTTGTCTCAAATAAATTAACTATGATTACTATGATTACTATTGTCATACATCGCGTGCATACACACTTCTACACAATTATTACAAAATTGACTTAACTCTTTATTGAACATTCCTACCTTTCACTTTTTCTCGAAACAATAACGTTATGAGAATATCATGAAGAAAATATTACTACAAAAGGAAAATTCTTATATAACGACTCTTATTGTTTTTTTTAAAAGAGAGAGAAAGGGAGGAAGGGGAGAGAAAAAGAATATTATCATAGAATTAAATTGCCCAAAAAATGACATCATTTACGATATTTTTTCCAAAAATCGAGATCAAAGATCATCTAATGAAAGTGGATTGTGCGAGCAAAAATTGCACGAATCTTCGACATGACGAATTTATAAAAGTTCAGAACACTTCCATCGCTCTTCGCACAAACAATAGCACGCGCAAACTTTTTAATTACATAGCGGAAAAGAATGTAACACATCAGTGAAAGGTATGTTGTAATCACAATGATGCCTTCTGCGAAATTTTACGAGCGCGCGTGATTCAAGAAATTCAACGTAAAAAGTTAATATTAAACTTTTTTTGTACACGTCTTAGATCTCTGCCAATCATCATTTTGGAACAATTGGAAGTAAAAAGAAAAAGTTTAGGGTTTACTGCTTCAAAAATTTTATATCTCGCAAAACTATTTCGTAGAACGATTCCACTCTTATACGATCTAAAATTTTTTTAGTACTGACATACTTTTCTTGAAACTGGTATATGAAAGAAAAAAAAAGAAAAAAAATATTATAAATTTAATAAGAAATAAAAGAAGGATAGGAACCAAAGACGCAGGTAATGGTGCGTGATAGTAATAATATATTATGATTGAAACTTTGTAAAGTTGTTCTACTTACATACAATAAGAAGCGCAAAAGTATATATTTAAAGTGTGCTGTCGATGATGTTTCGATCCTACTCCGAATTAGGCTCCTTTTCAAAGTCACTAGAAGTCAATAAAAACATAATATTATTTTATTTTAAAAAGGACTTAGCATCTTTGATTTCTAGCCTTCTTTTACTTCTTATTAGATTTGTATCTAGATTTGAACTATTTTTACACATTTAAAATTTTTTTTACTTATTTGAAAATATTATATTTAACTTTTATAAATTATAACGTCGATGAAGAAAAATGATTCGCATAATATAATAATATTGAAAATAAAAAAATTAAAATAAATAAATAATTTTCGAACAAATTTAAGTATTATTGCATTCATATTATATAAATCGTGTGATTCTTGTTTCTTTAATTCGCGTGCGTTTAAATTTTCAAAAAAAAATTTTATGCATTTGTTATTAAATTTACTAAGATCTACTATCACACGATATACACATTGTCCCATGAGAACTTGGTTTTAATGACGATCTAGGATGCAAGATCTAATTTTCGCAACAGCGGGACATTCTAGGAAGCCTCTGCCTCCGGGCTTGAACGAAATACTCTTGGACCGATATTTCCACGATGGGAAAACCAAAGACGTAGCTGTGGATTACGCCGCGCAAATTATACAACAGGGAAGAGATCATGGCTTGCCGTCCTATGCCAAATGGCGAAGCTTCTGTGATTTGCCGAATCTCATTGATTTTTATGATCTTAAAGATACGATGGCTAAAGATACTATCGAGAGACTTCGAACAGTCTACAAGTAAGATGATATATAGGGTGAGATATAGTAATACAGATTATCGCATTTTTAAATTTGCACAATTTTATGATTGCGATTTAAAATAAATCGATTATCAGATTCCACAATTATTTATGATGTTCTGAAGCGATTTTTAGAATATTTTACATATTATATTTCAATAATCTATTTTTATTTAATTTATAGAAATGTGCAGAATATAGATCTAGTAACTGGAACACTTTCAGAAGCACCAATACCTGATTCTGTTCTCGGACCGACATTTCTTTGTTTATTGGGGCGAACATTTCGGAATATCCGTTTAGGTAAATATAGCTTAATTTTAGTTTATTACGCATTTTATATGCAAACTTAAAATAACCCATTTAAAATTTTATCATCTCATAATTCTTTTATGCAGGTGACAGATATTGGTACGAAAATGGAAATACTCCTGGTTCATTTACAATAAAGCAGTTGGAAGAAATACGAAAAAATACTATGGCACAAATTTTATGCTATAATAGTGATAGACTACAATGGATGCAACCGAGAGCTTTTATCTTAAAAGATCCTTTCTTGTAATTATTATCAATTTTTAAATATCTTTAAATAAATTTTTTAGCAAATTTTTAAACTAATTATTATAGTAACATAATATTTAAATATAATAATAGTAATATAATATTTATTTTTTACTGTGATTATAATAATATAATATTTAAATATTTTCTTTTATGTTTCAGAAATAATATGACAAATTGTACAGTCCATATAAAAGGAGCCATGGATCTTGCAGCTTGGAAAGAAAGAATTTAAATCTCATCAAATTTTAACATTGCTCATATTAAATAACATTGTTCCTGATTACATTAGAGATTGCATGTTTGATTAAAATCAGCGATATTCTGCTTTACTATTCTCATATTTAAAAATTTCATTATCACAGAGAAAACTATAATTATTATATATTGTTAAATTAGATTTAAAATCTTAATCATCTTCTTGTAAATTGTTTTTGACAATCAATCAGAAAGAAATTGCATTCCTAATTTAATTTCAAAGCTAATGGGAAAGGAAAAAGATTTCATTAAGTAAAGAAAGAGAGAATATAGTTAGAAATATAATCGTTCATATATATATATATATATATATATATATATATATATATATATATTATCATGATACACACATTGAGATAGAAATTTAATTAGATTTATCAAATGTGTTAATAGTTTTAATATTTTACATAACAAAAAAAGGGAAAACTGTTCATAATGATCTCCATTTCATTTCTATAATATGCACAATTATTTGTTAATACACATTTTGTTGTATTACTCGTTATAATTTTATTGCAAACCATCATTGTTATTGCAATTTTGATGAAGTAATGAAAAATGTATATAATTTAAAAGAGTAAACAGTTAAATCAATTGAATAGAGCATTTTCTGTAATATATGCTTATATTTCGGTTGAGTTTAGTCTTAAGACTTTAATTTATTCTAACTTCAACGTGTATATGTCTGTCTCCTCCTTCTCCCTCTTTTCACCAAATAAAATTACAATTTAACATAAAAACATACTTATATAATATAATAAATAATTGCATAACAATACAATGGACACTATTGTTAATGCAAATTTCATAACAAATTTCATGAACAAAAGAAAGGTTAGAGTTGCTATTTTTTTAATGTAGTGGAGTTAATTTTACCTTGAATTTTTTTCTTTATATTTTTATACTCATTAGTTGACATTGTGTTCATATCGATGAATATAAATAAATACTATTAAAGAGATAATATTCCATTCCATCTCGGCGGATGATTAATTCAATTCAATTACATTATATTTGTAATTTTCTTGTTTAATTAAATCAGTACTCTAATCGACAACCATTTTGAAATCCGGAAATACTTATATATTAATGTAGAGTCTATTGAATATTTCTTTATTTTTCCGAATTACCTCGCTTGCAAGTACTTAACGTAGCAACTCGAAGCTATCGCAGAATATTTGTCTTGTTTCTCTAAAAGTAGTTATGTCTCATTTTGATAATGATCCCGATGCGTAATCTCCTCGTTCGCAGAACTCTGTGGAACATTCCGGATGTTACGTAAGTCACGAAAGGCAGGATGATACGGGATGAGCGTACGCGATTGCTATTGGCGCATACGGCTAGAGCTTAGACGTGATTGGTCCATCCTCCGAGTCGCCGAGTAGATGCGCGCATGGCATGTGTATTTCTACACGGTTTTCCACGAGAGTTGCATCATTCCACGTGAAGTTGGGCACCGTTCTATCCTACGGATTCTTGAGTTGAGTTTTCACCGAAAGAAAGTGAAGATGTTGGCCGCCGCGAGATTATTGAACCGTAATTACGTCGGTGTCGCGTGTGACATCGCCAGGAAACAACAGTTCAGCACAATTTTGAAAAATGTAAGTACTCACATAAAGCGATATCGCGTGCTTTTTTGCTTGCGGTCGTTGCTAATTGTATGTCGTCTAACGAGAGACGCATTTTTATTATCGGTGCTTTCTGTTCTACGCGATAAGTTCTAAATTAATTCGTATGTATTGCGAAAAATCGTCGTCACACGTTCCATCACGACGCCGATTTTAAAGCCGGCACGTGAGTGGGTGCTCTACCAATTCTTCTATGTTTTATCATGATATGTTAATTTCCCCTTTATTTTCTATTTTATTACCATTATAAAGAACTGATCATGTATTACGTGCTTTAAAATATTCTATTATAGATTTTTTTCCACAACAAACCGCCTGCTTCTTGTTGCGCAATAATTTTTTTTTCAAAGAAGTCAATATATTTTTTATTTTATCTCTTTTGTTTGGTATATGTATAATTTATATGTTAATATGTTAAAAATCTTGGTCGAATGTATATAGTTGTATTTATTCTCTCCAACTCATTTCACGAAGCTTTTGATGTCATATATATGATTTTTTGCAATAAAATAATTTTTTGAATTATGTAATATTTCTACATATATATATTATTTTATATTTGTATATTTGTATATTAAACATTTATATTAATACTTTATAGGTCGCAGCTCCAACAGTCACTGTACCACATCGGCTTACTGATTTACAACAGTATCGATATAAGTAAGTAATTGAAAAGAAGTAAATATCAGATACATGTATTTTCTAGATTTGAAACAAATTTAGAACAAACATTTTTTTATAGATCTGAAGGTGTAAAAGGTGCAGTTATTGGTATCGATCTTGGAACTACATTCTCTTGCGTAGCAGTAATGGAAGGCAAACAAGCTAAAGTTATAGAAAATGCTGAAGGTTCTAGAACCACACCATCTTATGTTGCTTTTACAAAAGGTACTGAATCATATTAATATATTTCCAATAGAATAACATATTTAAAAATTTATTCATTTTTTTAAAATTATAAATTAAAATTATTAACATGATGACTACACAGTAGAAAAACGATTTTTTAATATTTCTTTCTATTCAATTTGATCTTTTTATAATAAATAATTTTTCTCTTTAGATGACGAACGTTTAGTTGGCATGCCTGCAAAACGTCAAGCAGTAACAAACTCTGCTAACACATTTTATGCAACAAAACGATTAATTGGAAGAAGATTTGATGATCCTGAAGTAAAAAAGGATATGTAGGTATTATATTGATATTTACATAATTTATTATAAAAATATGATTGATATTATATGGTTATATTAATATTCTTTTGCAGGAAAAGTGTAACGTATAAAATCGTAAAAGCATCCAATGGAGATGCATGGGTACAAGGTGCCGATGGAAAAATGTACTCTCCCAGCCAAATAGGAGCATTTGTACTTATGAAAATGAAAGAAACAGCTGCAGCTTACTTGAATACTCCAGTAAAAAATGCTGTTATTACTGTGCCAGCATATTTCAATGATTCACAACGACAAGCAACAAAGGATGCTGGTCAGATAGCTGGATTGAATGTGCTTCGAGTAATTAATGAACCAACTGCTGCTGCACTTGCATATGGCATGGACAAACAAGAAGATAAAATGTAAGAAAATTATATTTAAATTGATTTATATAATATAAATAATATTCTGTGTAAATATTGTTTTTTGCAAAATATATGTATCTTATACATATCATATATATATATTGATTCACTAAAAAGCTATGCTTTTTATATATTTTACAAAGAAGAAGATTTTAATTGATATATTATTCTTTTCCAGTATTGCTGTTTACGATTTAGGTGGAGGTACTTTTGATATCTCAATTTTAGAAATCCAGAAAGGTGTTTTTGAAGTAAAATCCACAAATGGAGATACATTCTTGGGAGGAGAGGATTTTGATAATGCATTAGTTAATTACCTTGTATCTGAATTTAAAAAAGAGGTATACACATTTTGCAATTGTCATTATAATTATTTGTTATATTAAAATAAAAATATATATTGATATTAATTAACAATCTCATTAAACATTGTAGCAAGGCTTAGATGTGACGAAGGATGCAATGGCAATGCAACGATTAAAAGAAGCTGCAGAAAAAGCCAAAATTGAGTTGTCAAGTTCCCTCCAAACGGATATAAATTTACCTTACCTTACTATGGATTCTAGTGGACCAAAACACTTGAATCTTAAGTTATCCAGAAGTAAATTTGAAAGTTTAGTAAATGATCTGATCAAGCGTACTATTCAACCTTGTCAGAAAGCACTTTCTGACGCCGAAGTAACGAAATCCGACATTGGAGAAGTTTTATTGGTTGGTGGCATGACCAGAGTTCCCAAGGTACAACAGACAGTTCAAGAACTATTTGGTAGACAACCTTCAAAAGCTGTAAATCCAGATGAAGCAGTAGCTGTTGGTGCTGCAGTTCAAGGAGGTGTACTTGCAGGAGATGTGACAGATGTTTTACTTCTTGATGTTACTCCTTTATCATTAGGTAAACTTATATATCAATGGTTTTATTGTTATGCAGGTTTATATGTGTGTATGAAACTGTGATGTGTTAGACTAATCTTCTCTCTGATAAATGAAGACATTTGATTTACTGAGTTTCTAGTTATTTAACTTTATAAATAAAGTTGCATTGTATATTATTAATTAAGATAAAATGTTATTTTAAAAATTTTCCTGTGTAGGTATTGAAACACTTGGTGGTGTATTTACAAGATTAATCTCTCGTAATACAACTATACCTACGAAGAAGAGTCAAGTATTTTCTACAGCAGCGGATGGTCAGACTCAAGTCGAGATTAAAGTTCATCAAGGCGAGCGAGAAATGGCTAGTGATAACAAACTTTTGGGACAGTTTAGTCTTATTGGCATTCCACCTGCACCAAGAGGTGTACCACAAATAGAAGTAACATTTGATATTGATGCAAATGGTATAGTGCATGTATCGGCTAGAGACAAAGGAACTGGCAAGGAACAACAAAGTATGTAAATTTTCTATGTCATTTTATACGTGCATTATATATATATATATATATATATATATATATATGAAAAAAAATTAGTAACACAATGATGACTATATTTTTCGTCTCTGAAATTTATTTTAAAATAGAATAAAACATGTGGACTACATTGACTGATTTGTTATTATTAATAATAAATTATATTTTTTATATAGACACATTTTAATTCTGATTTTTTATTACAGTTGTTATTCAATCTAGTGGTGGTCTTAGCAAAGACGAAATTGAAAACATGGTTAAGAATGCTGAACAATATGCAAAAGCAGATAAAGTTAAGAAGGAAAGAGTTGAAGCTCTTAATCAAGCAGAAGGAATTATACATGATACAGAAACGAAATTAGAAGAATTCAAAGCGCAACTACCACAAGAAGAGGTATAATATTATTAATAATTGTTTTTAATATTTTATTTGTGGATATTTTTATACTTATTCTTTTTTTTTCTTAGTGTGATAAACTTAAAGAGTTAGTTGCTAAACTGCGAGAGACTTTGGCTAAAAAAGATGATGTTGATCCTGAAGAAATAAAAAAGCAAACGAACGAACTCCAACAAGCAAGCTTGAAACTATTTGAGATGGCATATAAGAAGGTATTTAGTCTATGTAAAAATAAATTTATATTAAAGACGATTACAATGTACAGTTCGAGAGAGAAAGAAAGCTATTATTTAAATGTCTTGATTTTACAGATGGCAGCAGAAAGAGAGAGTCAAAACCAAAATCAGTCACAACAGGAATCTGAAGGCGAGAAAAAGGAGGAGAAAAATTAATTATAATTAGGTAATTTGTATTTTGTAAAAAAGAAAGATTCCATTTTGCACACACTTGTATAAGCATCTGTTGTTTTTTTGCAAGCTCTTATAAAAGAGCTATTTATTAAACATAAGTTTAATTTTGACGTTCTATGCGATAATGAACAATAAGCCGATTAGAAATTAAAAAAGCAAAGTATTATGCAATTCTCACATAGAATGGATTATATGTTTTAATATATAATAGTGATAATTGTAAAATGATTTGTACCAAAAAAACAATATGAAAATAATTTGTTAACAGTTACAATCTTGGTTTTGTGAGATATTATAGCACATTTGGTGAATGAGTCTGAAATGAGAATAGAGAGAATGAGATGAGTGTTTTGTGCAAAATAAAATTATCCTGTAAACAATATACAATACATAGGTTACTGTAGAGAATACTGTTATATTATGCAATGTAATCATCTTTTACCTGATTTTTTATTTAAATATCTTTAAAAAAAACATCAGATTTTTAAATTTTGTTTTATAATAATAAATCTCTTAAATTTTAATGTATAAAAATAATTATACTAATAATTTTATTAAAATGTTGAAATAAGATTACTATAAACATATATATATATATATCACTTTCTTATTTCTAATGGCCCTTTTTAACTTAAAAAAATGTAATATATTAATCTTTAAAAATCATATCATGTAGTGATCATTTTGACCCACTCGATATTTTAATAATAAAATATCTTGAAGGCCTTGATCAATAAAAAAAATATTAAAAATTTTTTTTCAACTTTATTGTACAGTATCATTTCTGCAGATATTGAATATATATATATATATATATATATATATATATATATATATATATTTTTTTTTTTTTTTTTCTTCAAGCATTTTGAAATAGCTAAAGCTATCAAAACATTGTGCACACAAGACGTTGATCTATGTTAAAAATAAAGTAAAACGTAACAAGGATCATCAATTATATAATTATCACATTTTATGTATGTACGTGCGTGCGTGCATTCATTTTAGACAAAATTAGTGGTAGATAGTGAATTCGATATGTAAAACAAATATACATAGAAACATCTTATTCTGATTAAAATGAAAAATTGGAAAGAGTATGTAATTATTCGTTTTTCTTATAATGTTTGAATACATATAATTTTAAATTTATTCGATTTTTCCGCGTTTTTCCGAAATCAAATCTTATATTTTGTTTTGCATTTTAAAAGACTGACTTATAGCGAGCTAAATTAATAAATGATGTTGAAAAGAAAAATAATATACTTAAATAAATAAATAAATAATAGCATATAAAGAAAGAACATACTAGTATTTTAATATAATAAATTATTATTAATTAAATTATTTATATTTTTATTTATTTTATTTATATTATTTTTATTATCAAAAAGGAAACTGAGAGAGAGTTGTCATAGCCCTCGTGATCTCTGAAAGCAATACTCTTTGTGGACATTTAAAAGAAGGTAACATATATGTTATTACCCTCTGAGAACATGGACTTTGGCTTTGTAATTTATGTCCACATTTTTAATGTCCACAAAGGGAGTATCACTTTCAGGGATCATCTAAAAGCAGGCCTTGAGTTTGAGTGCAAGACACCTTTGTCTTCTCTCTGATACACAATTATCTTGAAATTAGTATTGTTGTTTTACTGTCAGCTGATAGCTTCGACCTTCATTTTTATATCTTTTTTCTCTTACCATAGCATTTATATAATTATATATTTATTTTATTGTAAGAACTGAAAAGACAGATTTATGAAGATTTGATATGAGATCATTTGACAATTGTATTTGAGAAAAGTTAAACATAAATTTTAAAGGTAAATGATAAAGGGAGACATTAAATTAAATGAAAAGTAAAACTTCGATTTTTTTCACAAGCATGATACATATATATATAGATACAATATGTTCGTTCTGTTAAAAGTATTTTATCCCTCCCTCTGAGATATAACAATCATATATAATGCCGGTTGCATTATCAATTTCATAGCAAATAATTTTTTGTATATAATATATATATCTTTAAATGTGTATCCTATAGGCACATGACGTTGCATAGAGTACAGTAGTGTTTAGGATAGGTTAGAACTTGTTAAACACAACTCTTGTGTGCGGTCTTATTTTCTTCTCTGCAATACAAATCGTATTAAAGTAGAGCATGTCGGATAGTTCTGACGATGAATTAAATTGTGGTGACGATCATGAGAAAACGTCGTGGACTTTGTATAAAGACCGCGATGAGTGGAGTGACGTGACTCCTTTACCTCAGGATGACGGTCCTCATCCTGTTGTAGCAATTGCATATTCTGAAAAGTGTAAGTATATATAATTTTAAGCTTTATATAATTATTAAATTCCATGTAATTTATATAGCATATATCAAACGATTTTCATGTATTATTGATTTTTTTTATTATTATTACATAAATTTAATCTATCAAGAAATCTCTTATGCCAATAAATTATAGCTTTTTATATCTTTATATGTTTTTATCTTATTATTTATTAATATTAACTTTCAGTTAAGGATGCCTATGATTATTTCCGTGCCATTCTAAAGTCAGGTGAAAAGTCAGAGCGTGCATTGGCTTTAACAGAAGCCTGTATATGGCTTAACCCAGCTAATTATACTGTATGGCAATATAGAAGAGAGATACTTAAAGCTCTGGCAAAGAACTTACAGGAAGAGTTAAAATATACAGTTCGAATGATAAAATATAATTCTAAAAATTATCAAGTTTGGCATCACAGAAAAGTCATTGTTGAATGGCTACAAGATCCTAGTGAAGAATTAGCATTTATAGAAAGTGTTTTATGTAAAGATGCAAAGAATTATCATGCCTGGCAACATCGTCAATGGTGCATACAAACTTTCAAGTTAGTATATCTTTCTAAGCTATCTCTATCTTTTTGTCTATATATATAATTAATATTCTTCATATTATATTCATATATATAATATATATGTATATATAATTATGAATATAGTTTATATGAGTATGAATTGGAATATGTGGAGCAATTGTTAAATGATGATGTTCGCAACAATTCTGCTTGGAATCAACGGTACTTTGTCATAAGTAATACGACTAAGTTTGAGCAAGAAGTGATAGATAGAGAAATCGATTTTTCATTGGAAAAAATAGAACTATCAAAAGGAAATGAGAGTGCTTGGAATTACTTAAGAGGGTAATTATATTTTTTCAATTACTTAAGTTTAATTTAAAAAAATAATATTTATATATATATATTTTTTTTGTTTATAAATTATATTTTTAGAATATTGTTACATGACAGCAAAGGCTTAGGTTACAATGAAAAAGTAAGGCAAAAATGCGAAGAAATGTATAAAGAAGGATGCCGTACTAACCATTTGTTGGCCTGCATAATTGATATTTGTCAAGAAATATCATCTGATGAAACCCCATCTTCTTTATTTCATATTAATTCTGCATATGAAGTAAGTCAATTTTTGTGTGTATTTGAGTATAAAACTTTTGTTACGTTTGGCCTAAATTTCACTCTCTTTGATTCAGTCAATCTCTCTTACTCATTTTCTTTGTACTCATTTCAGTCTTTCTTATTTTTTGTTCCTATATTATCTTTATTTTTTTATTTTTTGTTGAATTCAGAATTATTATTCAAAACTTTATTTTAACAATCTATTTTCATTCACACACACATTTAATATATTATATAAATTATTTCTGATTAATATCATATGATATAATTATTATATCATAAAATTATAATATATATATAAGTGGACATAATAATTATAGCATAATTACAATGGAACATGTGTTTATGTTTTAGCTATGTAAGGATTTGTCAAAAAAATATGATACAATAAGATGGCGATACTGGAATTATGTGGGTAATCAGTTGAAAACGATAAAATTGAAAACAGAAGCTTGAAATTAAAAACTAGAGCACTCCTACACTGTGAATTGTTCAAAGAATTTTAGGTAATGTTTTTATATGTCAATCTATATATGGTTGATACATCTTGGCCTCTTGTCTACACAAATTATTACATAATAATAATAATAAAATTTCTCAGAGCAATTTCTATAATTGATTTATATAAATTAAATGTATCTTTTATGCTCTATGAAATAGAATCAGAATTTATTAGTTAACTTATCAGAACTTATATTAAGCAAAATTTATATCACTAAGCTATAAGATGTATTATACCAATGTTAACGTAAATAAAATGACCTATATTACCTTTTATGCTTATATGTTAATCATTTTATGTATTGTTAATCATTTTCTGTACAGCTGTAAATCTTTAATCATATGTTATTAATAGCTTGCAATTCCAAAATTTTTATATTGATATATTAATAACTAATGTTGTTACATTAACATTATATAGCGAAAAGTGATGAAGACAAGTGGATCGGCAATATTTTATTTATGGGTTTTTTAAAATTATTAATCGTATGCAAGCGTGCGCGTACGCACATATATGTATAAATATTTATACACGGTTTGATTATGACATAATATTTTCTCCTAAAGGATATTTTTTAGGAATATTTCGATAGATTTGTTTATTTCTGGTATCATTAAAATAGATATGTATATTATAATCATACAATCATTAATTGTTTAAAATTTTTAATTAAACAATAATAAAGTAAACAACAAATGCTGATTATCTATTTATTTATAAAATAGTTACATATTTTTAAAATATAGTACAATAAATAATTGATATAATTAATTAATCATAATTAATATGTATATATAATTGCGATAATATCTATAAGTTTCGAAAAGTAATTTAAAAAATGATACAATACGTGAAATTCTAAATGACGATACATAAAATTGTATTCAAAATACAGAATCTTTCTAAATTCTTGTCTTCGATAACTCGAGGAACTCGTTTGTATGTTAATGTTGTATGGCCATGTTTTCGGAATAGTGCCGAAACATTTGAAAGGAAAATGATTCTCGTTGTTGAAAACTGTGATAAATAACTGCAAACGTTTCACGTTTTTTTCTCTGAAATCTGTGTGAGTAAAAGCACAGATTTGACCATTAATTGAATTATACATGCATTTTACGTAACAAATGAACACGTTTTGACAATTACAGTTCAATAAAATAATGATACAATATTGATTGCATAGTCAAGGATAAGGAACGATCAATTAACAAAGTACAACTCATACGCAATTAAGAGGACTTTCAATATTTAGTTCGGATTGAAAGGACATAACGTTGTATCCAGCTATCCTAACATTTAACAATCAACATTCAAATGATTATTCCTTTATGCGTTTTTCCTCGAGTGGAAACATACCATCTTTGTTAACAGAACACATTTAATTATTGACTAAACAGCTTTCTTTTACTACGAGACGTTATACACGTTGATCGTGATTTACAACTTCATTATCGATGCCAAAGAAGTTGTTTCCACCTGGGTATTGGCATACCGTTAAAGCTATGAGATACATAGTCTTACCACAAGTATATACACATACTTGATTTACATTGAAAATATATGAATATTTTTTACCTGTTTGTCCTTTTTTAATCTCTTTAAAATCCTCCATATTTTTTAACATTATATAATAAAATTTCTGTTCAACTTTGTTGTGTTCAACGTACACTTGAGAAATCACTTAAGACATTTTTGCAGTGCGTTACCATGACACATGTACTTTATCGTATAATTGTATCGTATAATAAATACAACAGTTGACTTCTGATAACCAAGAGAAAATTTTCAGATAATTAATAAACATAACTACAATTTTTTCAGGTAACAATTAATGAGTTGTTTAAAACAAATCTAGGCATTTAGAGTCATCATATTTTGAAGTACATATATATTATAAATTAATTATTTGTAAAATTTAATATAAATCAATTAATCCAATATACATTGTAGATAATTTTTTTTTATTTTTAATGTAATAATTTTGAAAAAATATAAATAATATTTGTATTTTACAACACAAAAATCCAAAAGATATGAGATTATAATTCAAATATTAATTTAATTAAAAGTATAATAATTTTAAATATGAGAAAGAAAGATATGCAGTTAATTTTATAAAATTTAAATAAATGATTTTAAATTTATTTGATTTTAAATAAATAAAATTGATTTATTTGATTTTAAATAAATAAAATTTAAATAAATTAATTTTATAAAATTTAAATAAATGAAGATTTATTTATGTAATTTTATACGACTACGCAAATGTGTCTCTGCAACGCTCTATTTAACAACATTTTATATATTATAACTCTTTGCACGTACTTTTCTTTCACGTAACACAAGCTATTCTTGAATGATTGGACCATCTGTTAGTTTTCTCTAGTACGTGTATATATAGCTCGATCTCATAAAATTTTTTTATTTTCTATTTAATATTTTTTCTTTCAAATATAACACACATCCACACACATACGCACACACTCTTTCTTTCTCTCTTTCTCTTTCTCTTTCGAATAACTCTCATGAACAACAAACGTTATTTCCTCATTTTGATACTTCCACCATTTATATTTTTGCATCACTTTCACAAATTATATTATCAAGTCATATTATATTTTCTCTGTCCAGCAGCTATAATATCTATGATAAATATCACCGAAAGTATTCTCGGTCAACTATCTACAGAGAAGAGATAGGTTTTGATAGATAGATCCTTGAATTCTATTCGAGTATAGTGTCTCTACGTTAAAAGGGTCAAGATAGTAGTACTCGTGGCTTTGTGTAGCCTTGTAGCTGAATTAGCTACACGTGAATAATATCCACGTAATGGAATCGATCGAAAAGATATGCTCTATTCTATTATTTTTTTCTAATTACTTGCTTGTTTTAGATCATAGACAAATTTTAAGACCGATGCAACAAAAACAACTACATATGTAACAGTCGTATTAAGTTATGCAGAGTTTTTAAAATGTGAAAAATAAGAGAGATAACTTAATGTCGCAAGTGTCGATCTTGCGTATATATTCATTGAATAAGCTAATTTATTTATCTCATTTTTTCGAACTTTTTTATATTGCATAGACAATCAGATATGCAATAAACCGAAAAAAATATATCTCAATTTCTTAGCGATCAGAAACGTACTGGGAGTTATCTCAAATTTATTTTGTATGTGCATATATATATATGTGTGTGTGTGTGTGTGTGTGTGTGTGTGTGTGTGTGTGTGTGTGTGTGTGTTGTGTGTGAATGCAATTTATTATATATAATAAATTTTTATGTATTGTATTCACACATGAGATAATATAACGACACAAGAGCAGATATAAATAGTCTAAGAAATATTCATTGATTTCCATTTAAAGAGAGATCATATGTAAAACCAATAACCATTTTATATTTTAATAACTATGTAAAACATAAATGATTCTCGTTTCTAATTTAAATCATTTGCCAATTGGGATATGATAATTTAATTAGTTTTAGCTAGTCATATTTTGAATACATTTCCTGAATTAATCTATTTCCCCCGAGAAATCATTCTTCTATTATATTTTCCATATAAACAATATTGCTATATTTCTGATCGCGTTATAAAGAAATTTTATCCAATAATATAAAATTCTAATCATATCAATATCTAAAGGAAACAGTATATGAGATTATAGTTCATAGTTCAGCATAGTAATTGCAAAGTTAAGTAGAAGTTAGCACATTGTTTGAAATTATTTAGTACTGCATATTATTCTCTTCTGTCCGTATAACACATTACAATTGAGAATTGCTAATTATTCTGCACACACGTATGTATATATATTTATATTACAATAATAATTATCAAGTAAATCGTTTTCTTATCATTGATGTAAAGTAATTTATATTATGCAGCAAGACTTGAAATAAACTTTCTCATAATTTTTTAATAAATCATGATCGAACTTATGTCACTAAAATTTTATAATATTTTTTTTAGATAACTCGATGTTTGCGAAAGAAGATAACATGCAGTTCAGCATTCTAATGTACAATAGAAACTATCTTAGATTGACAAGTTAGAGTGACAAGAAGTAGTGAGGCTACAGAGAAATATATGTGTTTTTAGCAGAGAGAAAGTATCCAAGCACAGATATGATTAAGATAGGGTGGATTAAACACACGGTGGCGTTAAGGCATAATAACTTACATCCGAAATAAGAAATACTAACTTTTGTCTTCCCTTATTAATTACTATCTTGCATGTGCTCCCTTTTTACACTTTGTGAACTTAATAATATTCCAGTTTTATCGTCAGTCTAGTTTTGCGTTAAAAAATAATAAGATTATTCTAAAACTAATTGCGGCGCATAAAAAAGCTCACAACATATTAAATCTAGCTTATCTCCGATTAACCATCGTGGGGTAAGAGTACTTGCTTCTTTCCCTTCTCATATCTAAAACTAATGTCCGGTTAATTCGAAATTATCTATACGACACAATTACCCCATTTCTGTCTTTTATACACTTACTTACGTAACTTCAAAGACATGCGGTAGTGATCGAGTTGATATGAGACAACATTCGATGTTTATCTCAATTTACATGTAAGTCTTATGCTCTATGAATAGGCGCTGCTAAAAATCGAAGAAATCTTTACGCCTGTAATTCCATCGTGTATACAATCTATCTTTTCGTTTCTTCACTAACTTTATTATTAGCATTCGCTTTTATTACCTCTCAACGCTCGTCGTATTGATGCATCGCGTGAGTTGGAGTTGTGTCAGCTTTGTTGTTGAAAAAGTTAGTCGCCGTACCGCATTACTCTCTAGATCGGAGGAATATTCAAATATCGATTCGCGATTTGCTATCTCGAGTATTTTACAAGAAACGCACTCGTAACGAAAGGATATATATTTGTATATATATCTAAAATAAATAACTTACATTTTTCATTTTCCAATCTAACATCAACAATTTTGATCAGATTCGTTAATCTCGAAATACATCGGAGATTCTCGTTTCGTTCGCTTGTCCATTCCTCCTTATTTATAGTTAACCAGAAGTAGGCAGTGATAGAAAATGATTAAATATATTTCGCTCAAGTAAATCTTCTTCGCCCATCGCGGAAGCCTTGGTCCAGTCTCCACGAGTCGTTGGATAATTATAATGAAACGTACACTTCGCGTATATTCGGCAACAGATCACTCGAATGTCAGATCGATAGAGAGAGGCTCTTTGCTTTCAATCCATATATTTCTTTCACCTTTCATTTTTCGTTAAACTCGCTTCTCTCTCTTTAGCAGCACGCAGTCTTTACGATCTAGAATCTTACAACAATAATATACGCTTACCTGTCACAAAAATAAATATTTTGATATCGCTTACCATCTACATGCTTACGCACTAGAAACAACAAATCCCGCTTGACATGTCCAGCTGTATGACGGGATTCACGATAAATTTTATATATCTCATTCATATGAGTTGACGCTCTCACATTTAACTTCGTTCTTTGTGTTGTAGTTATATATGCACGCAAAACTTACATGCTGTTGTTAAAAATTGTACGAAAATTACGAGCATTTATATATTTATTATAATTGTCTAAAATATGACTGAATATATACTTCTGTTTTTTTATCATCATAGTATTTAAATGTAACTCGAAAATATAATTTCTAATCAGTTTCAATCAATGTATTTGTTGTTTAAAATTAAATATTAAAAAGTATATATAAACAACATAACATTAATACGAAAAACTTTAATTCAGATATGTTAATATTAAAAATACATATAATATCATATAATTCTATTTATATTTTTTTATAGATGTGTATATATATATATATATAATATGTTTATCTATATTCATGAGTAATGTACATAAAGATCAATGATAGCAATCTGAATTAAAACTTTCCGTAATAAAAATAAATATCGGAAAGATAAAAGTGCGAGTAACGGTGTGCATAAATCTTTAAAATAAATTCTGACATTTTGCGCGTTTACGATTTACGATGCAATGTTCACACAATACAAAGAACCGCTTTTCTCATTTATTCGCTAATCCCTTATACTGACTAAAGCTTTATGAAATTGTTACACACCACTTTGCCGACACTTGAGAGCTATTGGGAAGGCTCATTACATACATTCTTTTTGTAAAAGTTATCGTGCTATTTGTATACAATTTCATCATTTTCTAAACAAGTTTCAAGCAAAATACCATAGTTATTTTAATATCGTTACAATTTGCTCATTACTTCGACACTTCAATCTCTATTTTATTTATTTTCTTATATATTTGCGGACTCTGATATTTAATCGTACAAACATTCTACCTGTCAAACAGCACGCCGATCAAATATTCGCTTAGTTTTTACTCCTATCACAAAACAATTATATTTGTTATATTCAAGTCATAAAATTCAAGCTTTAATACTCCATTTATTTATGCTCTTCTTTCCCTATTTTTCTCAATAACAACTCTTTCTTCTTGCATATCTAGAGATTTTACTGAGTACATTTTTGAACTAGTATGCGCAAAGTGACGCAATGTCGTCTCTCGAAACAATCGATTTTGAGAAATTGCATATCAGTCGTTTCAAGACGACGGGACACACCTTGAGAAATCTCTTTCCTCTGGTCCAGGGAGTTAAGGTACAACATTGAGCGATTTATTTCTTAATCGAGTGATCCCTTCAGGTCCATGGTGTGTATCGCGGACGCTGTGAGTGTCAGAAGGCAGTGTCCAGAGCTGCCATACTGGTCGAGATGTCCGGATCTGCTCGACAAGCCTCTAAGAACTCGGATAACGTCACTACACCGTCCCTATTGCCATCCATTTTCTAGAACAAGTAAAGTCCATTTATATTTGAAAGCTTTTTCATTATAATATTTATTAAAAATTCACATAATAATAATTGTTTTGTTGATAGATGTTACTAAGTATTTCTAAGTAATATTTAATTAGAGAGATTAAAAAGAATTCTATTAATCGGATAATATATACTAATAAGTTCACATATTTATATTAATAAAACGTTATATGTAATTTTATATGTCATGTTATATATAATTTATCCGCCATATCCTTTTTTTTAACGATTAAGCTCTAGTAGAATATCATAAAGACATATTTTATTTTTTTTGTAAAAACCGAATAAATAATTTATCAACAGCTTTTATATATAACAAAATATAACGTATTTATAAAAATATAATATTAAATCTGCATTGTTTTACGATACAACTATAAACCATCTTAATATTCAATGCCATAACTATAATGAATTATTGTGTCAAAAAGTTGATATTATGTAAAATGTTATAATGGTATTATGTGAACTTTCTATAGAGGAGAGAGAAAGTATTAAAATCCTCTCCGTAAATCTCTTTTTGTTTCACGTCACAGCTGCGGATACATGGAACCTCATATCTAGCAACTTTAACATGATTGACTGAACTATGAATGACTAGAATTACCATGAAGCTTAAACTCAGAAAAAAAGCGTCACGTTGACCTAGATTGGAAGACCACTACTGACCTAAGACGGTATATTATGAAGGAAAAGAAAAAGCGCATGTCTTTTCACACTTCTGCGTTTCTGCGATAGTACGTCGATGTATACGTATATATGCGTTACTTAAAGTAGAACTGATCAACCACGAACGACTACTGGAAGTCTGTTTCTACTGCGTCACGCTTCAACTTCTCTCTCTCTCTCTCTCTCTCTCTCTCTCTCTCTCTCTCTCTCTCTCTCTCTCTCTCTCTCTCTCTCTTCCCCTCTTTATTGTATATATTATTTATTATAACATTGTTGTTTTTGTAGTATATATAACTAATTTATTAGCTTAATATTATTTTATTTTATTTCATTAACATCAATATAATTAGTTTAAAAATTTAATATTTATTCTTTAAAAAATTGTTATATTTTTTATCATTAATACAATACATCACAAATAATTATACGAGTGAATATACAATCGTTTGCGATATGGTAGGTTTCATATTCATTCAAATAAATTCGAACAGAAATGCAGTCACTACCAAATGTTAATTATCTTCGATTCATGGCAATCTATTAGAACGAGTTAATTTACAGAATAATCATGATCGAAAGTTGAAGCCGCCGACATTCCATGTCGTGTTGTGTGCATGTATGAACATTTAGATTGCACAGTAGTAAATCGGTCATCGGCAGGTGCGAATCGCAAAATTATTACTGCTCTCACATTGCGAAATACAAAGATCAATGTATGCGGGGCTGGAATCTGCTGCTGTATACATCACGTTGGATTAATTCAGACCACAATTTATTATATGTTGTGGTTAACATTATCGTTGTTATGTATTTATAGTTATGCTATAGTCAGAAATAATTACCGTAAATATATAAGATATTGGATAAATTTGGAAGAAAATCGATAATAAAATTGTTTATTATTTTAATATAAAAATAATATTAATATTTTAATAATAATGCATGAAATAATGTCGAAATAAATTTGATTTTATCTCTTGTATTTTGAAGAAAATATTCGTTATATGTACAATTCGATATTATGTACAAGCGATTGCAAATATAAATGACTAATGTTCAGCAATTCTCTCAATAATTTCTAATGAATCAATTCTATCAGCAATTTTTCATTTTTTATTTATTAAATGATCTTGTCATTAACCTAGTAAATTTTTATAATGTATTTAGATATTTTCTTATATATTTTTATAAAATATTTTATATATGTTTTGCATTTTGTATATATATATATATATATATATATATATATATATATATGTATGTATTAATTTTTATATTTTGTTTGCGCGTGATGTAACATGAAAACAATTCAATACTATTAGTAAAAATTGGCAAAACAGCTCATTTTCCTAGAATGGAAAGTGCTAGCAAGCTAGATGCGCAGTTTCCAGAAACAATGGAATGGATTTAATCGTGATCTGGAGCGAATGCAACTCGAATGAAGCTCGTTTTTAATTAGTGCTACGAATAACGCAGATATTCCGCGATGCTCGTTACCTCTTTCCTCGTGATTAATTAGCAATGATTTAATCGAAACAGAAATGTCCATATAACAAAGAAGTGTTGCGAAAAATTGAAAATGGATAGCGATTGTTATTTTATTGTATTACAAAACGTAATGTCTTTTGTAAAGAAAAAAAGAGAGGAAGAAAGAGAATTAAAACACATTTACATATGAAAATATAATAAGAAATAAATATAAATTGATATGTAAGATCTATTAACAAATTGAAAAGTTCTAAAAAATTTTTCATAACAATTTTTTTACATTTATTAATATAAACGTTATTAGATATTACAATTATATAATAATGACAACAAATTTAAATATTTTAAATGTACAAAGTAATAGTGTATTAATAGTTGATCTAGATTTGTCCAACAATTGCATATAATTATATTTGCTAAATTTTAAAAAGTTATCTAAAAAGTATACTGATGGAATCCTACGCAAAACCACGTAGAACAGAAACTGTTCTTTCACTACTTTTTTACGAGCGTATTGATAATCTTCGTAAGCATTTAATGCCATTGTGCTGCAGTTAGAAAGTGTCCACTGGTCCATTTTTCATTCGCTTGTATTCATGATTCGAAGTTACCTTTAATAGTGTTGAAAAGACCTCATAAAAGCTTAAAGACCACAAAGACAGATATATCGTACATTTTAGTTATCGTGTAAGAAGTTTATTAAGTATTAATTACTATATTAATATCTATTTTGCATAAAAAGAGATAAGATTTATAAGAAAAACTCTTAAATTATCATTTCAAAAAATTAAAAATGTAATTTATCTTTTATAATATTCTTTGAACTCTATAATTTTATATATAAACACAGTATTTGTGTATAAATTTATATTAAAGATAAAATCAATTCTTAAGATAATTAAAAATATATTTTATTATATAAATCATATGTCACACAATTTTAGCACTCTTATTCTTAAATCATTATATGATTACGAAAGTACATAGCTTTTTTTATACTGTTTTTACAAGAATAGAATTTAAGAAAACCCGTCACATTATTAAATGTAAATGCGATAAGTTATGTAATTAATGCACACTTAGATTCTTTATTTATTCATCTGCGTTAGCTGGCTGATTGAAACGATGCTTCATTAAAATGATAGATAAATGTGTAGAAAATAAAACCGAGAAGCAAACTAGAAAGGAAAAAAGAATTTAAAACAAAAATTGTAAGCACATTAAGGCATAAGATACACAATGCAAAAAAATTTTATTATTTAATAAATCAAATGACTAAAAAAACTAATGATAACTAATTTAATAAAACGATGGATTATCATAAATGATAAATTCATGAATACGATATCTGCAATATGAGCACTTCATCAATCATTAATAAAAACTTGAAATCAATAACGCGAGATATATGATAAATATTTGGTTCATTTATTTTTCCATTTATTTTTAAAGCACATATTGTGAATCTCTCTTGTGATTTCATCTACAAATCGCATTTGCTATAAGTTGAAAGTATCTAAACATTGCATATGCAATGACGAAATAAAACTTTTCTCATTTTATATATTAATTTTTTTATTTCTATTTTACGTGACGTAATCTTTTTCATCATTTTAGTTTTATATACTATTTTTTACATTTTTCATATTATAATGAATGGGCTTTTTGGCCCATAGATCTTTTTTTCGACGAAATACGCAGTAGAACTTCGAAATACTCATAACATGAAACAAGAAGATGAAAAATGACTTGAACAAGCTATTTTGTCTTGCACCGCAATTTTTAAATTTCTCGAGAGTTTTAAATCGATTTATTTACGTTTCTAAATCGTAATATTCGTAAAAAGAAACTTTGAATATCCAACGCACATCTAGGTTGTATGCGCAATATCTCGTCTCTTCGTTTACACAAAATGAAGTATTGCTACAGGCTAACAATTTACGGGAAATAGTATATATATATATATATATATATATATATATATGCAATGTAAATTAATGTATTTCCAGCGAGAAATATTATTCGTTCCATATGTATTAATGAAATTCGTATTTATATTTGCGCATTTTTAATCGATTTAAAATGTTCAAATCATATTCGATTCAATCATCAATATTCTGCACGTGTGCAGCATCAGGAGGTAGCATCCCATTGCTACCATCATTCGCGTAGCACAGATGGTATTGATATCATGACAATAAAGTTTAACCGCCAAGTAACATCTGCGCATAGAAATTTGAATAGTTTCTTGTTTGCGGACGTTTCGATTTACAGTGAATCACAGAGTTGATTGCAAACTGACTAACGAATTATATCAGGTAGATCAAAGGACTTGACTATAGAATATCGGCAGGTGCTCAGGAATAACATTTAATTGGATGGCAAGCGGTGTTGAGTGGTCTTACTATTATTGAATCGTTTCGTGGATTTCGATAACGATAGATTAATACATTGATTTAGTAAAATTTTAATTAGACCGTGTAATATCTCCTTCGATTTTTAATATTATAATTAAATAAAGTAATGATAGATCTTTTCTTGTACAACTTTGAAGTTTATTTAAATGAAAATCTCATGACCTCTTTGTTTATAATCATTAATTACACAGAAACACAAAGTCTTTTTTTATATTCATTCTGCTAATGGTGCCGTGCTATATTTCAAACAAAAAGATTAATGGTTTTGCCAGGAGAGTAATTAAAATCTAAATATCATGTTTATTATATAATATATGTCAGCACACGGAGGCTGCAAGTTAGATTGAGAAGTTAACGTAGTTCCTTGAGAAAAGCTCGTGAGAGGCCTTTGAGGAACTGAAACCACAAGCAATTAGAATTTAAACTATCCGTACATATACATGTGAACATAAGGTGTGCGCATACACTGTGGTTCTCCGAGTTAGAACTCCGCGTGTTGTACTAATCCTATCTCTCTTATACTCTCGCGACCGCCGCGCATGCGACCACGATGTGCACACGTGTATCGGTGTGTCTCAAAAGCAGCAGCCCTAAACAAGGCGTTTACCCTTTCTGGTCGCGTTGTCTTTACCGTTGAATTTGCGTTCCTTTCAACGTCAGCGAGAGCGTAGGAAGCACATCAACGTATCTAACTGTGGCTACACAGAATCGAATATGAGAATCTAGTGGCAGCTTAACGTGCCCACCGGTAGTAGATTACGAAACAAGCTTCCGACCTAAAATGTCGTATCTTCCGATAGTGTAATTGAATGATGCAAAAGAGCATTTGTTAATTTCATGTGATAAGTGAGATTAGTTTAACTTACTTATGTTATCATTTTGTATTGCTAAAGCTTTATTTTCGCTAAATCAAAGTCTAATTCTGCATTTTTTTAAATTTTAATATAAATAAAATATAAATAAAATGAGAATTATGTCCTTCATAATCTATTTAAGTACTAATCTATTTGTTTAAACTGAATAATGTTTATCCTGAATGTTACCATATAGGTATATACGAAACAGCTATTTTAATAGTTTCTTTTACGCGAAAATCGATTTTCAACACAATATCACGTTCTAAAAATGCTCTTTGAACTTCATTCGTCATAGGATTGACGAAGCGTGTGGCTTGTATCGGGCAGATAGAAGATATGTCATCTGCGCAAATTGTCTCTGTAAAATGGGTTGCTCCTTTTTTCGCCTGTAGCGATGGAGATAGGTGAAGAGAACGAGTGCATTGCGGGCATTGTCATCCGCAGCTAACAATGTGACAAGTTCTAAAAAGAAAGGCTTGTTCCTGTCTTGCTGATACACTTTCTGCAGACGCTCGTTTTCTTTCATTGAAGTGAACGAATTATTGACAGCTATCGCACGAGATACAAAACTCATTCATTAAATGTTTCGCTTACTCCATGCCCCGAATGAATTCTTTTCACTCGATTACTTTTCACGATCGAGTCTTTTATCTAGATAAAATGGATTATATTTAAAAGTTAATCTTAAGATCTTATTTTTAAGTCAAATTAATTCTAGACAAGAGAAGATTTTGCTAATTACTAGTGATATAACTAAACGAGTTACATATTAAACAAGGAATTAAAAAAACTTTCTTTTGCATACGAGAGCGCGATTTAAAAATTTGTTTTTACTTTCTTACCTGAAACATACGGTCCACTTTTTGGCGTACACCTTCATGATCCAAATTAGGATCAGAAAACTTTCCCATCAGCTCATACACGGCAGTTACAATATCTGTCATTTCCTCCCTTGTAATGCAGCCATCCCCGTTGATATCGTAAAGTGAAAATGTCCAACGAAGTTTTTCATCTATCGAACCACGGGACAATATACTCAAACCTGTAACAAAATCCTGGAACATAAAAATCACTATTGATCATAACAATATAAACGTTGCCGTGGAACATTTTTCACATTGCATGATGATGTTCGTATTCTATAGGATATGTTCGAGCTGCGTTATATTGTCTATTTATATTGTCTACTGCCTAAACGCAACAAATATACTTTTATTTTTAGAATCCTCTTGTTTCGCCGTTTTTCTGTTATATTTTTTGTGCGAAAAAGCTTGGAACTGCATTTAATTGCGTATGTTAATTGAGCGAATAATGTTGATAGCGAACGATATATCAGGCAGTAAAGTTCGTTGGCTGAATTATGATGCAGCGTCGAACTTAGAAATGTACAAATTTGAGTACATACCGTACGAGATTTGTGGTCCTGTGGGTTAGTATATTCGTAACTTACTAAGTTATGTTAGGTAAGATCTGAAGATGTGATTGTTTCACGCATTTATCGTTACGTGTGCTATTACTATTGTTATATCCCATACTCCTTTTGATTTGAAATTACTGGTGAATTGTGTATTAGATAAGTATATCAAAAAATTATTTTTATCTTTTTCTATCAAAATAGAGTTTTTTAAATTAGATGAAAAATTTACGCAAAACAATCAACAATATTTCTGTAAAGAACACAAATGCATTTCTGATAAAGTTCTAAAATATTATTCTTAAAAAAATCAAAGTTGCAATAAAAATATATACTTATTTTGTAAATTGTATGTAAAACATAAAATTAGGAAAAAACATAAAGGCGTTGGTTTGATTATTGAACTCATTCTTGTATTTATTAAGATCGCGACAATGCAAATCTTGTTTATGTAAAAAATGGCATCGCAATAAAAAACAGTGCTTTTAGAGAAATAGGTCGCTCGCACAAAAGTAATTTAGACACAGAAGGGCGTTAAATTTAATCGTGCATGGTGATTAAGCAAATAATGACGACAACGTGTAACGCGTTGCCTCGTAAGAGATAAATTATGCTATCAGTCAGCTAAGTTACGACGTAGAAATCCGGCCACATATTAATATGTACGCATATAAGCGTGAAACCCTATGCGAGAAGTTTGTGAATCGCACGAGATATAGATATATATTAGACATTTAAATAGACTCCAAGTAATAAAATTGGAGATATGTTCGTATTCATTTCTTGAATAATGATTACTATTGAAAATTTGTCTAGAATTTCAAATACGATGACTATAAAATAAAATAGAGTCGTATGATTTCATATTATGTTACATATACTTAAATTTATTATAAAATGAAAAATGCACTGTTTATACAAATATTAGAATGATTTTTATAACCTATGATAAGACATAATAGCGAGCCTAAGGCATTAACACTTTTGTCTGTAATGTACAATTAATTCGTTGGATTTTCTAATTATCTGAAGTAGATAAATGGTAAATGAAAAAAGGAATGGCTGTAGTGTTAAGAATAAAATAAAATGAAATAAAGGATTATTCTATGAATTAATATATATTTGAGAAACAGAATACAGATCGCGGATGAATCGATAAGTCTCGCAAGGCGTAATCATCTCTCTGATCGTGCTTGTCGTCTTCTATGTGTGTTATACATTTCTCGCGGCTCGCCAACAACTAACGTTCGACCGACACGTCAATTCGTCCTCGAAGTCGACCCTTTCGCAAGTAATCGGAAATATAAACATTTGAGTATAGACTAGAAGGACCTCAAACGTAAGAAAGGAATAATTTAAGTCCACTCGTCAATATAATTTAAGTCCATACATAGATTGAATAAAATATATGTTGATTGAATAAATATCTGCACGTCTTTATATTTCATCACATTTAAGTGTATTTGTGTGTTTTTTTTAATTTTAATTAATCTCACGATAAAAATACTAATTTAAATACTAATTTTAATATCATAACAAGGTATCATAAAAAATTATAAAATAATATTATTCCATTTATCATTTCACTCGTTGTAGTATTCTCTTAAAATTCTTCCAAATAGATTATTTATGGGAGAAGTCATTTTGCTAATTGCATTTGATATGATTTAATTCCAATAAAATGCAACATAATTTCGATGAAGTTATATATTTGGGTAAATTGGAAAATATTGAAATTGGAGAATTTAATACATATCTTCTATCAAGAAAATATCAAATAATAATTTAATGTAATTAATGTAAATTACAGGAAAAAAAGTGCATCATGTATAATGTATGACTTAGTAAAAACAAAAATTTTAAAGAAAGATGAGAGTATCATATATATGTGTATGTCTCCTATTTTTTTCTTTTCATTAATCTTTGTTTTTCTAATATCGTCCAAACTTTTCATATTTGCTATGTTGTTATTACTTCATGATCGTTTAGTATAAAATATAAAATTGAATAAGAATTTTTGAATTATTTTACTTTTGTATCATAATACATAAATATAATAAAATATATAATTGTTACTAATAATAATATTTTATTAACCGCAAAATTTCTTTAATACTTTGAGCGTCACGTGTATGTATTCTTCATTCATACTTCAATTTCTTCCTCTTCAATTCTCTACAATTTATTTACTTAATAATCAATCAAATGCTTAGAAAAGATAGAGTGTAGATTTCAAATTTCTTGGTACACATTTCAGACATTTAATCACTCTTTTTATTATAAATAAGTTGTAAAATGATATATACTGTCCTTGGTCGGTTAATGGTGTTTCTGAGTTTAAAAGCGCGTCCACTAAAGCTGTTGACCTAGCAAATTGTATTAAGCGATCAGGAAGAATAAAATAAAGTCAGCGAGATGAGGGAACAAAATGGTGGTAGACACTAAATTACTAAAGGTAATTGAGTTTGCAGCTGAGATAGAATATAAAAATAAGATAAAAACCATGAAAAGATAGAAGAAAGATAGAAATTATACATTAAGATTAAAAATAAAATATGTAAAATATATAAAGATTACAAAATAGCAAAAAATATATTTCAAGATAATTTTATATAATAACAGTACGTTTTGAGAGAAAGAGAGAGAGAAAGAGAAAGAGAAAGAGAAATATATCGTACCATTATTAAGAAGAAGAACATTAAACATAAAAAAGGAACCAAGAAAACTTGCTTTAAAACATTATTTTAAATGATGTTTTAAGTAAAATAACTTAAAATTTAAAATAATATAGGAAAATAGTATAATAATAATAATAGTCTTTTAAATCATGCATTAAGTATGAAAAATTCCTAAGTAATAACAGTATTATAATGTATTAATGAATGTATGATCTAATTAAAAAATTTAAAAAGTTTATTTGAGAGATATAAGAAAATTAATAATATTTTGATATTATAATAATATAATTAATAATACATAACAAATTTAAATTTTTATTTAACACATATTATGAGAAAATTAATAACATATTTTATAATAATATATTCAATATATTCAAATTGAAATAAGAAATGTTTTAAGTAAAATAAATTTTTATGAATTTCAATTTTTTTTATGATATGAAATTACAATAACCTTAGTAGTGCACGAAATATATTGTTCAAAGATAAAAATAAAATATTTTCTATAAGAATTTTTATCGTTAACATGGTTAAAAACAACGTTGTTAAAAAAAATTATTATTGCTAGTAAATACGTATTTTTCTCTTTTTTGATAAACAGTTTGAAATTGAGTTATGAAATATGAAGTATTGTTTTCAAATATTGAAAAATGACGCAGTTAAAGGGAAGTTGGAAATTGCCAAATGCTGTATAAATTCTCCTAGAAGGTCTAGATCCTTCATATAGATTATACTTGACGTCACTTAATCTTACTTACAAAATCCACAGTTTCATGTCTTGTGCCGCTTTGTGTGTTTACACATTTATCGTGTAACTTTTTTCATTTCTCGAGAAAAATTCTTGCACATATTTAATCTTTATTTTCTTCTAAACTTCTAAATTTATAATTTCATTCTTTATATTTTCTCACATAAACATAAATGCATATATACATATTTATATTTCCCTTTAATCTACATATATATATATATATATATATATATATATATATATACAAATAATTAATATAAATATTATAGATCTATTTTAATTTAATTATTTCTTAAATATTATAACTGTAATAAGTTATACATAATAGTAGGCAATTATCGAAAATAATGCATATTATTTTTTTCCTATTACTATTTTTTATGATATATGTATAGTATTAGCTGAATGTCATATATCAACTTTTGTAAGAACATAAAGATAATATGTTTAGAGCATGGCTTTATCCATTACAATATCATTGTAGAAAATCGAAGTTTACAAATATACATGCGCATTTATATTTGGTTGGCCAGTTAATAGTAAACAGTGAAACATTCCAATAAATATCGATTATTGATCCAGGTCATCGTGATTATATCGAGAATGAGGAAATGGGAGCAGAACTCAACTCAATTATTCGGGGATTATGTAATCAACGAGCTCAACTTATTGCAATGGTTATTATACAAATACATATTTATTTAACTTTTAAAATCTATAAAGTTGTTTCTCAGAATTTACATCTTCAAGATTTTCAAGATTATATTGTTTGTTTTTTTATAGAATTTGTAAAATAAAAATTTAACTAGTTTTTATCAAATCTGCTAAAGATCAGCATATTTATAATGAGACTAACTGCTAAGAGAATAATAAAAAATGATAACAAAATTATTTGAATTGCAAAATAATAAAATTGTTCCGACTTATTACTCAAATATTTCAGTTAGCAATATATTTGCTTATATTCTTTATTGTTATTTTTCATATATATTTTTATGCTAGGAAATATTATGAAATCGCAATATTTAGAATCATCTAAACAATTAATTATTAATACATATAACATATATAATATATGTGGCTAACTTTTGCATTGACATAAATATCGATAAATACTTTTAACATAGAAATTTAATAGATATAATTAAAATATTTGTGTGTATATGTGTGTGGATATCATACAATTTGTGATAGCATCTTTAAAATTTATGATCTTTATTGAGACAAAGCTTTAGTCTCCTAAAAACGAGATAATGAATCACTACTACAATCACATTTCTACACAGTTTTAAAATCAACAAATTTGATGGTACGAGAATAAACTTCTAATTGGATGATGTTTAACTAACAACGAAGATTTACTTTTGCTATTTAGAGACATCGAACATTACCATTGGAAATATTCTGAGGAATTAGGCTAATTAAAAGAATAAATATTGTAGAAACATTTGTATTTCAATAAAAAAACTTATAAATTAATAAGTAAATTATTTTTTTCAATTTTGTTTAAAAATAAAAATACTTATTTCTAAAGCATAATATGATAATGTTTTGTTACATCGGATGTGTTTGACATAACATATACTATCGTATGTTTAAATAAATCGATTCGTAAAAATAATAAAATTCGTTGATTGTTTTTCATTTATGTGAATTACGTCATAAACGTAAGCTTCTCATTAGCAGATAATTAAATTGATAATCAATGAATAAGAACTATATCATGTTTCACGTGCTTGTCATGTGATATGCTTCTCTGTGTTGAATAAAATATAGAAATTTTCTTTGTAACAATTATATTATTCTGTACCATTAAAAATCAATATTTAATTAAATTTTTAAATAACAAATTAAAAAAATAATTTGCGAATATGTTTCACACATTCACATTTTTCAATTCTCATATTAATGAATTTAAATGGAATTGTGTTTGACGGACAACCAAACATTTTACACGAAAATGCTTTCCAACTGCTTGGCACAAATCCACATGTAATCAAAAAGCATGCAAATGATTTCACACAACTAAAAGGATGATAATTATTTTAACCAACGTGCGAATTAATGAAATCTTTCGCTTTTCATTAATTATAAATAGTTTTTTAATTAACTTTCTTACAGAAGAAGAGCATGTATTTTTAAGAATCATATTATATTTAGTTTTATGTGTATATATATGTTATATATACATAAAACTAAATATAATATGATGACATATGTTATATATATATATATATATATATATATATATATTCCATATTAATATATAATGCGAAAATGCTTCATGAAAACATTAACATAATTAATTAACGAAAAAAGCTTTCAATCCTTTCGCTTTAAATTATATTTTCACTGTGGATCATTTATTATGATATACGATGTCATTAGCAAGCAAAGTACATTATGATAAAACATTATTTTTGCATTAAAATTAATAATACTTCTAAAAATATTTCTTATTCTGCAGAATGTAAATACATTCGTGAATCGCAATTAGTTTTTAAAATTTTATGAAGACTACCTGATTAAAGCACCGCTATATCCGCGGAGAATGTTGCAACGTCAGAAAATAGGAAGGCTAAGGAAAGCTCGCCGCAGAATGAGTCGTATTAAAAAAGAGAGAGAAAGCTTTGCGAGAAACGATATCACAGTTAATTAAAAGTTCCGGTGATGCTCGTTCTATCTCCTTCACTTGAAGCAGATTTCTCCACATATATATACATACACTCTACACACAATGTATACGCATTTTTTAATAATACAAATCTAATAGCGCAACGCATTTTACACTACGTTACATGTAACGTTTGCAGCTAAGCAATTTTTGTCGCTGCAGTTTAATTTTGATTTTAACTTGTTACATATGTTGGTCGTACAAACGATTGAAACATGTATTCCGGCAAAAACCAGAGAAACTCCAGTTGTGCGACAGTTTGCTGCGAAAGCAAGAAATTTCACAGTGAGCAACTGTGCTCACTACAATATAAAATATTCAAGTTTGTAGAAAGCAGCTGTATCTTTTTTTCGCATTGTTTCAAAATAGATGCTGTTAGTCTATTATACATCATGCGTTTATCTTAGAAATATCATATTGCAAAATTTTGGAGGAGTATTTTTTTGTATCTAACTGTTATTTATACGGATTTTAAAAGCAAATATTTAAAAAACATATAATAAGATAAAATTACACAAATGCTAATAATTATAATAATATTATTAAAATTGTATTTAAAATTTTGAGAAAGCATCGAGACAATTTTAATTGGACTGACAGATTTGAGGCAATGAATTTTTACATTTTACAATAAGACGTAAAGATAAAAAATATTGCACATATACTTCTCAACGATAATGCGATTAATCCTCGTGATCACCGGATTCTTTGTCGTCACCTAAAGAAGGCGATAAAGAAAGAAGAAAAATAAAGGGAAACCGAAGAAACCTTGAAGATGGAGGAGTCCTGTTGGGCTATGCGTTGAGAGCGAGTGCACTCGAGTAAAGTATTATCTCGAAAAGAGGAATGGTAATCTTCGTCCTGCGCGCATTCTCTCTTTCTCCTTCTTTCTCTTTTTTTACAGATCTTAGAGCGAACGTATAATGCGATTGAAGAAGCGATAAAAATCTTCTATATCAATATATCAATGTACAAATAAAACTTACATAACAATAGAAAATGGTGCGCATACATAATATGGAAATAAAGAAACTGTCATCTTTTTACTCGAAAAATTTCGAGATTATCGAACACTCTAATTTTGCTAAATATCGAAAAGAAAAAATCAAAAATATTTTTTTAAGCTTTTTTATAAAACTTATTTTGAGATTCTATAATAAATATATTATATATTATAATCCAAATTGTCTACGTGAAAATTAATCTAAAATTAAAGCACATGTGATAACATACACAATTCAGCTCTTAAATATATTTGTCTTAACTCTTTTGGATATATGGATATATATTTGTATGTATAGTCCTCCAAGTGTTAGTGAAAACTAGATCGAAAGTTTGTCACATATCGTTCTATGGAAAACGCTTATAGACAGAGAAATCCTCTAGAATAATTTAATTAAAGCATAGTTTAATTAAATTATATCGCAAGTTATATATTAGTTATATCACAGGTTAATGTGAGAACCTTGTCATGTGCGAAAGAAAAGTTTGTATTGAATTTAATAATTTTCTGCAAAATATGAACAGAGTGCTAATTATATAAAATACAATTCTACGTTAGTGAATCTAAAAACAACTGCATTATCTGATAATTATCTCGCTACGATTTCTGGATCTTCTTTTTATCTTATTACTCTTCAGAACTTTGATATCTTCGACAGATCGGTATCATGTTCACCCACAAATTGACTTTGACACTTGAATCGAGTAGTGCCGAATGATTGAAGTGTCACTCAGTAAATTTAATTAAATACACGATGTTGAATGTCATGTTATATTTAATTAATTTAGTCCCCAAAGCATATGTTTGCTTAGGATATGACATGCATTAGACTTTTAATTTATGCAAATGTTAATAATTAAAATGAAATTGCGATAATTGAATTTTATAGTTTATTGAAGAGATATTAAACGAAGATGTTGAATAATGCAGAAATAAATTTTGTAACGTATGAGATCATGTTGTATTATGTATCTCTCTCTTTCTCTCTGTGTGTGTGTGTATGTGTGGGGGGGGGGTGAGTGGGTGGGTGTGTGTGCGCGCGCGCGCGCGTGTGTGTGTGCGTGCGTGTACATACACACATATGTGTGTGTACATTTTATTTAAACCCCAAAATTATATGAAATATTAATTGGGACATTTTACACTTTCTATACTTGGCAATTTAAACTTAATAGCATTCAATAATAGAGTTACGCGTTAATTATATTGCTAATTTTCAGTCACTTTATTTAATTACATATTTAGTACACTAATTAATATTAACTGCATAAAAAAAATGCGATTAAGCAGTTGCTATATAATTTAAATACTTTCTACAGTTAATATTACAATTTTAAGTTAATATTATAATTTTATATTACAAAATAAAATATTGGATAAGATATTTCCTTATTTTTCTACATTCCTCAGGTATTAAAAATTACAATCTATATACATAAATATTAGAAACATTAATGGTAAAAAATTATTTTTATATACATAATAATATTAAATATAAAAAGTATACAGATGAAAAAACAGATTGGGATGTGCGTTTTACATAAATAATTGGGATGTGCGTTTTACATAAATAATCATGCTTAAATCATATTCCATATTCAGTAGGCAAATCTTAAAAAGAGTTAGATGTTTGTGAAATCGTAAACCATATTATTCTGCATTTTATAGCATATATTTTGCGAAATATATATTGCAATATATTAGCTTGTTACGTACACTTATGTAATATTAATCTGCATTAGATTGACCTGAAAAGTTAAATATAGAGAACAAAATTGATAGTGATTTTATGCATGCCAACAACTTTCAAAGTAATATGCTAAACACAAACAATCTCGAAAGATAAAGAAAAAAATAAATTATGCAGAAAAGAGGATTAAACATCACTTTGCGTCAAAACCATGTGATCGTATAAAAGCCATTATGTACAATACAGTGCCATACAATAATCTAAATTTAGTTCGGAAATCATTAAATGTTATATATGCAATGGATTGTATAAACTTACCTCAAAGCTGAGAAGCCCGCTGTGATCCTGGTCCAAAGTATTAAAAACGTAATGTGCATACTGGCTTGTATTGGCTGTAAAAGAAATACAAATATATATTTATACAAATATATATATTTCCATTATTTCTTTATATATGCTTACTTATTTTATTATTTAATTTTATTCATTTTTTTATTCTTATTAAATTTGTGATTATGGACTAATATGAAATATCACTATGTATTAATTTTGTGTAAAATTATTAAAACGTAAATATCATTATGTATTTTTGTGTAAAAAATTGGTACAATATTTAAAAAGTTTTTATTGACACAATATGTCTAGATTAATTAAATAAGATAATCTACATTTCCATACACATCCACACATACATAAAAGTATATATTATTTAATACCTAATCAGCATTTTTTAATTAAAGTTTTTTTAATACAAGTTATAAACCATATTATTAATATGCAAGTTACAATTATATTATTAATATGCAAGATAATATACAAATTAAAATTTGGAGCTATTTAAATAAGAAAAGAAAATATTTCGTGAAAAGAAACTACACCAGAGATACTTAATGAACAGTATTTGATTTCTTCCATTCGACTTTGTTGTTTGATTTCTTTGAAATTAAAATACATTTTGGCATTATATAAACTTCGTTGAAAAAAAATCTTTAATTTTTTAACAGATTACATTAAATGAATTTGAACGAAAATTTACACAAAAACCGTCGAATCTGTTGTGGATGGCTCGTAAACTGAATATCCATCGGTGTGTGTTAATAACTTCCAGTTGAGATAACGTGAATGCTTCAAATCCAAAGCGAAGATTTATATAGGCCAGAAATTATCACGCCATATATATTCATGTTGTGCCGGTTGCACCTTTCGCTGTTCGCCGGTAAGATTTATCATGTAAAGGTTTTACGAAAGAATTGGACAAGATATACTACTTTTTAACGCAGCAATATATTGCCGTCACTATGACAACATATATGCAGCAGTTTTCAAAAAATACTTATTTGCGGATTTAAAAACCAATATTTGTTGTTTTATATAACCATTATCTTAAAATATCAATTTAAATATTAAGATTTTAATTATAATTTATTGAACAGATTGTGTGTGTGTCTGTGATTGAATAAGGTTTTTAATTTGATTATAATAGTAAAAATTATTGAATTGATCAACATTTAATTCATCAAAAAATTTATTATACGTAATATTAAATATGACAATTTTCTAATGTCAAAAAAGAAAAGAGCACAAATTGCTTCTTAACCAATAGAAGATTTTTTTCACCAATAGAAGATTTTTTTGCTATAATTAATTTTCATGATAAGAAAATATAAAATAGCATTAGCAACATGCAGACAGTAATCACTATAAAAAAGCTATCTTATGATAGAAATAGATTTTCGAAGAACACAGTAGGAAGCATTAAATTCCTGCTCTAAGAACTTGAGTCTAAAGTTATCGAAGTGAGTCACTTGAAAATTTGTAGCAGTTCCTATCATACTTCAGACATATTGTACTCAGGAGTTTATCACGAAAGGTTGGGATAAAGTGTATTAACTCGTCAAAGTTCGCTAGCGTTTGCGAAACTGCGTCTTCGTGGAAAACATGTTCAATTGTGGAACAATACGAAATCCGAATATTAGTTTTCTTCACTTGAAAATGTCCAACTAGTAAAGTATATTACAAGTATAAATACCGATATGTGTGCGTATAGAATATACTTTGAAATGTATATTAAAGGTAGATACTACAATGCAATGAATTCCACAGAAATATTTTCTCTCCCTCTCTTACTCTCTTTCTCTCTATCTCACATATATTTGATTTTTTCAAATCTGACTTATATAAAAAAATGTGACTTTTTATGACTGTATATTCCTTTATTGAGAAACTGAGTAAGATTTCCCGTTGCATTCCTAAATCACACAGTGATAATCCGTGCGCACAATCTTGTTCTATTACATCGTCCTCGGGGAATTGCGAAGTTACAATCTCTAGGTGAGGGATCACATATCTCAAACCTTGAGTCATATGTATGTACAGATTCTTGTATTGTATAAAGATATATATGTATATCTTATACAGTTAAATGCAAAATATAGAGGCTATCTTTATAACTAATATATACATTTTAAATATTCTCCAGAAGTCTTATCGAGAACATATTTAGAACATAAAAGCAAAATACGTGATGCCAAATATATAACAAGACCATATTATTTTTAAAATTATAAAAAATTATGTATATCTTTTGTTGCAATTGATGTAGTACTCTTTATAATTGATTCTATACAAATATTAATAAATATTATGCAAATTAAATTTTATAATTCTTTCTTATTGTTAGTGATGTATATATATATTTTATAATTCTTTCTTATTTGATGTATATATATATAGAGAAAAAGAGATAGTAAATTTTATATAACAAATCGATTTTCAATATCGTGAACATGTCTTTGTGCATATATACGTAAATGCACTTGCATTCATATTTCAGGATATGTACATAGTTACGTAAATCTGAAGTAGATAAGAGATGTTCTCTCTCCCATCTTGGGAGAGAACGGAAGCAGGCGAATTGCTCTGTCTCTGTATGAATTAACGAATATGAATTGCGAATTGTTATCTTGGGGAAGATTTATCGCGATATCATATTTTACATGTTCGACTTTTGACTGTTGCAGTAGATCTCTGTAATGTCCCTTTATTGTGTCGACCACGTATTTGATATCGGAGGTATAAATTTCATGTGCTGAATTGCACATGCAGGTTTCTACTACTCTCCTGGGTTTTGCCGGAGGGATTTTAGATAAGTATAAACACATCTATTCCCCCCTGGTAAAAGACGCGATTGCTAAGAAAGATTCTATCGAATATTTATTATGACAATTTTCATGGTTTTTTAAATAATTTCTTTTTAATCATATGGATACAAATAAATTAAAATAAATGGCAAAAATATTTCTATAAAATTTTCATCATTTTTGAATCACAAATTTATCGTGAAAAATATTAAAATTTTTTTTTTAAATCTACGATTATTTTAAATTACTTGTTACAATTAAGAAAGTATATGTAGCATATAGTTTTTAAATATATTAAATATGTATTAAAATTTATCTTTATATTTTAATCTAGCTTTTGAAAGCTTTTATTTATTTTGGAGGACAATTTTATCGTGATTTGGATGAGAGATATTTTTAAACTCCCGGTTAGTTTACGTTGTCTTGCTTACTCTAGGTCCGTGACCCGTTGTTTGTTTATCCAACACTATTTTGATCTCACCACAAATAACAAACTATCATATCACTTGACAAGATCAAATAAAGATTACTACTAAATATTATTCTATTCTGTTATACATTATTTTATTCAGAGATTCATGGTTAATACTAACAAAATCAAATATAAAATTAAAAGAAAAAGTTTTTTTATAATAATAATAATAAAAATAAAATTCAACAAAAATAGATATGTAATTTTTACATTTACAATTAATTGTAATAAAATATGTTTTGCATAAATAATTTTGTTTTTAAAAAATTTTTTTATATTAATATATAAATAAAGTTATATATACTATTTTCAATTAGACAAATTAAAAAATAACTTATAATAATATATTAAAATATTTGTATAGCTTAATATTAATGTTTATTAAAAAATAAATAATGCGTTATAATCTTTATAATGAAACGAATCTAATATTGGAATATTTGTTCATGAATCTTGCACAATACAATACAAAATTACTTTGATTTTTCTGATTCTAAACGCAAAAGATTATAAAATTTTCATAAACAAACTATCTGAAGCAGTATACTTGTACACATATACATACATATTCATATTCAACCCGAAGGCTCTCTAATTAAAACTTTTAATTTAATTGCCATGTGTGTGTTGTTTTATATTATCCTTGCTTGCCCAACCGTTCGATTTGTACTTAATTAACACAATGCGCAGTAAATAAATCTCTATAAACCCTTTTTTCCAATTTAAGATTAAACACCCCATTTCTCTTTTGCAAAGCAAAGATCACCATAAACACGAAGAATTCATAATTAATTTCGTATTTTAATTTTTTACATTAATCATTCTTTTTCTTAGTTTTTATTTAATTTTAATAATATACTTTTACACAGTCTATTTGCATACTTTTTTCTACAAAACATTTAGCATTACGGAACAGTTTTAAGTTTTCATTTGATACATTTTCAATATTTCGTACATTCTCTTCAGAATGCTTTAGCTGAATGATGACATATTTATCTCCCTGTCGACATAAAGAAAGCCAATACGCTTCTCAGAAAAGAAGAACATAACTTGCTGTAAATCGTAAAATAGTAGACGTTAAAAATAGACGTATACTTGGGCCATTGTCTATTCGGTGCAAGAGATTTTTTTCAAGGATTTTGGACTTGATTGCTCGTAAATTCGCGATTGATCCGCCTTTTACGTCGAGCGACAAACAAATCATGATATCGACGAGGTATTGTAGCTGCGGGAGACCTTCGGCGAAAAGTTTGTCGATGATAGGAAGCCTTAAATGCTTCATCGATACTTTGGGGTTGTCAATATTCCAAAAGGTCATCTGCTTCCCTTTTTCATGGTACATTATTAACCCAAATATTTGATTATGCTATAAAAAATCTATAATACACACAAAATCTATAATACAAAAATCTATAATACAAAAATGCAACAAATCTCGAATCATTAATCTTTTCGGTTTATTTGTTATAATTTTGCGAATTTTATGACTTTATAGCTCATATTACTAAATTATTTTCCACTATTTATTACTTGAAATTTTTTAATAGAATTTAATAGAATTTAAGAACTAAAAATCTCTAAATTATATAATAACGAATTATTTTAATTAAGTAAAATGCAAGCAAACAATTTTCTAATTTCGTGGAGGAATCTGTAATAAATATTTAGTGATAAACTACTTGACAGTATAAATCGTAACGCGCGCCCGAAGTTAATTGATTTTAGTTAAAACATGGTGCGAAGAACGTAATTTCCGAGAACGTGAATTTCATCGCGTTAATGCACGGAGCACGCATAGTCATGGATAACCATATCTCTCACGTGAATGGATAAAAGCGAACGCGTTTGAAACGCAGTACCATTTTGATCTGGGGAGTTCGTTACCATGGCTACTGCAACCGCGTTCAACGAAGGGCCGTAGTTATCCTGGTTGTTGGATTATTCTCTTTCCTTCTTCATGTTGATACTCTTCGACGCATCCTCGATACTGCCGTCGCAACGAGGAAATTTAAATGCGCGACGAATAAATAAACCAGCCGATATATCTACCGTTGTTCTTTTTGCAAAATAAACATTTTTTTTTGTTTTTATGCAATTCTCTCGCATCGTATGTTAAAAAAAAGATCGTCGTGTTTATTGAAAAACATATTTTGTTTTAAAAAAAAGAGAATTTAGACTGTATTATTGTTGTTAATTAAAAATTCCATTGTTAAAATATATAGCATAATTATGTGTGAAAATATACACTTTCTTGCTGTTTTATTTTATATTAACATAAATATAATAAAACAATAAGTATTGATTTTTAAACAATTTATTATTGTGAAAATTTAATTTTTTTATTTAAAATAATTAAAATTTGCAAGAATTTTCTATTCGGATTTAGATTCTATATTTAACTACGTCGTATAAAATATTCTTTTCATATATGACATCATTATATTTCGCAGTATAATATATTCACATTCTTTTTGGGAAAAAATAATTTTACTCGACTAATCCGAGAATATGCATAATTATACTCGCATATTAAAAGATCTAAAAATAATAAATTTATTATTTTCTTCCGTAGTTTTAAATGATAAAAGATACAAGAATTCCTTCTTTAATAATATTTTTTATTATATAAAAATTGAGAATGAGGAATTATATTTTTAATTTTATATTTTTATATTTTTAGTGGTTTAATAATTTAATATTTAAAATTGTCTTACTATTTTTCGCAATTTTCAACAATATGAATAAGAATATTATTATATCTAAAATATGATCTCACCTCCTTGAGGAAAAAACTGCGAATAGATGCACTTGAAAGTATCTTCTCTGACGACTCCCGTAGGACATTCAGCCTTGAAGCCACGATATATTCTCTTCAGCTCGGCCTCCGTGAATCTGGTCGCTCGGCAAAGGCTTGCCAAAGAATCTGGCCTGTATCTCGGTGTTTGCTCTTCCTCGTATTCCGAATCTGCGACATAAAAACAGAACGTATTTGCGTTAATTGCAGCAAAGAAATTGACAAATTTCTTCTGTGTACCGCGAATCCGTCGAACCGACTAAAATCTCTAACAAGATTAAAGAACTTTGCTGAAAGCGCGCGCTTAAGACGGAAGCCGTTTTACTAAGATCATATGGAATAGATACGAACAGCGCAACTATTGATGTGATATCTATAAAATGAATAAAAAAGTAATTAAATTTGTTAAACTAAAAAGAAACTATACTTCTTAGCAAAACACATTATATAAATATAACTTTTGAATAATGATGTATATAATTTTGTAACATATTGTATTTGTAACATATAAGAGGAATTAAACTCTTTTACATATTATTTTACATATTATTTTTTAATTAAAGCCGTACATTTTGCACATGTAAAAGAAAATTTTTTTAAAGATACTAAAATTTGTTTTTATAGGTACTATTTTTTATAGATACATGCATTTTATATAAACACATATTCACGAATATAAAAATTAATATAAAGAAATGAAGTTTATGAACATAAAATATAAATCGTCGATTTTTGTATTTCATAATTTCTATCTATTCAATAGTATATATATGAGAATATTAAATATATGAAACTTAAATTAAAATAAACTTGAAAATGATCTTTTTCGGACATTATTGCTCTATTAGAACTCGATAAAACTTGGCATCGTTTTCCTGCTGCTTTCAATTTTAATCTTTTTTTCAATATGCGATACATCAATCGATACGAGTTTATAAAGCTTGGATTTAACGATACATTGCAATCGCGGAGGAAAATCTGAGATTGAATTGCAAGATTCAAAATTTTCGCATAATATTGCAACTGTATATTTCCGTCACAATAGAACTTTTTCAAATCTCGTGATTTCTTTTTAGATTCTAATATTCGATTACACACATACATTTTTTTATTAGTTTTTTATTAGTTTATTTTTAATTTAAAGGAAATTTCTAAAAATGTATAATAAGTTTTAAAGTTTTAATTTATATATTTTGATTATTACAAAAGTATAATTTTAGAAGCGAACTTTTAAACAAATTCTTTTAAACAAATATGCAAGCAAATTAGTAAGAACTTCAATGTGTATATGGTGTGTCCTCATTAAGTATTTACTTTAACTTTATAATTGCGGCCTAAAAAACAAAGTATTATAGTTTCAAAATAACATTAAGTGGATAATTACTTCATTACCTAAGGCAAATTTTATGATATATTATAATAGAATTCCATTCATTGGTCACGACGATAATACTCGTGCATACATTTTTTATATTTTGTACTTATTAATGCTTATTAGAAGTAATAACGAAATACGTTTTGCCAACTTGGAGTGCACTGGCATTCATGAAATTTTGTTTGTTTATGAGGTGTACGTGAGCTAGCGTTGCATTACTTGCATCTTATTTCCCATGGGATGTTCTTTTTCATTCCAGAAAGAATCTGTCGAACTTCCAAGAAAGCTGAACGTGGAACCTTCGGTGGAATAAAGCACAGCGTTTATGAAACCGCTGCAAAAGACAGTGAGACACAAGGAATCACGATAGTGTTAGACAAGATTTTGTAAAAATTGCTTTTCCTTATAACTTGAAAGCTATTCGTTCTATATCACGTGACTCATACAATATTTATTAGATTTTATTCGATGTCGGGGCGTCTTGATATCGAAAGATGAGGTAAATCTCCAAACCGTTTATGGAAACCTTACAAACGAAACGGTATGACAGATTTGTAAGATGTGTTTCTCAAATACTGTTATTATTGTGGATTTTGTATTTAAACACACAATTTTATAAATATTAATATTCGAACATAGACTTTTTAATTTTTATATATTTCTTTTAATTTTTTATTATAAAAGAGAAAATTCTAAAAAAAATTTAGATTAAATTTAATTATTTGGATGAATGTGTAAGAGAGCGAAAAATGTATGAATTCTTTGATAAACGAGAACAGCGAATACGTGCGCAGGATACATGTATACATTTCTCCTAAAAAGATTTAAATTTCAGCATCACAATGAAAAGATTTTGTATTACAAGGGTGTTACTCGTATATATCCAAAGTAATATATGAGCCTCTTATGTTTTAAAAGAGATGTAAATTCAGTTTTGCGATTATAATTTCTATGTCATATTAACGATGAAAATATTAATGATGTAATAATTTTTACAAAATTCATGGAATTGAATTTTATATTATCTTTAAACTAAACAATTAAGATGTTTTAATCGCTATTAATTTCATTTTTCTGTATGCTGGTTTTCAAAGAAGAAATATTAATATAACATTAAAATTGAAAAAAATGAATAAAATATATTATGGTGTGTAAAAAATATTATGGATTTTTTATAAATGAATAATTGTCAAAACAGGCATATAAATTAAATTTAAAGAAATAAAAAGATGAACAATAATAATATTATTTAATAACAATAATAATATTATTTATATAATATTATTTACAATATTATTATTAGAAGAAACATTGTTATGTATACGATAAAAATGTTTTGTGTTGTCTTTCTTAATGCAAACGATTTTTCGCTATTTCTTTTGACATAAACGATCTCAATGAAGCGATTTTGTAAGAAATCCTTTTCACCTTGTGAAACACCGTCGTGCACAAGAGTGCCCAATGGAAATTGGAATACGTATCCGTGCATACGATACTCACATGCAGTATGGAAGATTTGGATTCAGGGAGGAAATTCGAGACACTTTTGCAGTGCTGCCACGTGTATATATATGAAGCTTACGTTATGTTTTCCACAGGAGGTTGCAAAAGTTGGAAGGTGAGAGAGCAATCCAGTGTTGGAATTTAAATCGAATCGTCTTGTTCCGACAGCACTGAATTCTTGCAGATTCAATCTGCAGACAAATGTGATACAGGAGGTAAAAGATAATAACGAGATACGACGAGAAATCTCACAGCATCAAACGATTTCTCGCATGATGAACGATGGCAAATACTCGGACAGAGAACATCTGTGGTATTCAGAGCTTAAGACAGTCTGTACTCAAATATAAACAGTATGTTTGCATTATTGTGGAGAATTTTTCATTGAATTATGTTAATGTCTTCGTGAGAAAATAAGTATCTTATCAATTAAAAAAATCGCCGTTCAATCAAAAAAATTTATAGATTCAATAATCATAATTTGCATTGTTATTACGTATCTTGTCTCCTAATTATTAGCCATGATAAGAATAATGTATGATAAGAAATTAACAGTACTAAAGAAATTTAATTAAAGTTTTTCGTCTGCATTGTAATTGGCAATATTATTCCATGGAATTTTTTACATTTACATTTTTTCTCAAAATACAGCATATCATAATGATTACAGGAATAAAGAAACTTCTAAATTTAATCTAAATGACGAGTTACTTCCGTACTCTGTTTACTCGTCCATGTCATATGCTTCCTAAACGAAGGATCGGTTTGACCAAGCGTAAATAGGGTCAACGGCGAGGCAACATCCGTTCAACCCTACATCTCATTCGGGATGATACTTTAGGAGAGATGAAGATAGAATCTCGCGGAGGGTCGATACTATCTCCTCTTTCGAAATATTGGATTTGTGCAAAAGATGAAAGGCATTCCTCACGGAATGCATCAGTTGTTGTCAGACAAGCAGCATGTACTTGCTCTCTGTTTCCTAATGAAAGACCAGATCTATTGGAGTTTCCATCGATGTGTTCATCGACAAGAGATCCCACAGGAATCTATTCTACGCTTGTAATTGAATGAGAATATTTATAAATAATTTCAGACATCAATAAACACTTTAAATCATGTAATAATTTTCAATTCAGCACAATCGCTAGATGTTTTAAAGATGGGTTAACATAAAGTATAAGGCAAATCGTGGAAGACTCTTTCCTTTATTTATATTCTTCGTATATATATAATCAGATAAAATATTATGAAAAATTTAGCGGAACATTTAGTGGGTTTATTTTTACATGTTGAATTTTATGAAAAAATGAATCATAGATTATTCGGATATTCGGGCGTTTCAGAAAGAACGAGATTGGGATTTTACATAACCAGCTTAATTTATGCGACGTGCTGCATAAAATCTTATCTTTTTTAAACTAGTCGCGTCGAGAAGAAAATGTGGTTACGTAAAACAGAAATTCTATTTAATTTTATATACTTTTATAATTCATATATTTATAAATGATATAAGTTTGATAATGTGGCAAATGTTTGTTATTTTAAATATTATAATTATAATTTTATAAGTAATAATTATTATATATTATATATTAAATTATAATAATTATTATATATTATATAAAAATTTTGTTTATTTACCTTTTTTTATTATCATTCACATATTATTATTTTCTGTTCAATATTTTTCATTTATCAAGATAATTTATTTTCGATATGTGTATATATACATATATATATATATTTTTTTTTTTTTCAGGAAATATCAATCTGTTTTTTAATGAAATTTTCAATAAAAAGGAGAGAGAAACGCGACTTATGATTAATTAACATTGCATATATGCTAAAATTTTTTTTCAAGCAATGAATTCATAATGCTAATCAAGAATGACAAACGTCGTCATAAAAATTTAACCAATTTTTACCGTACATTCTATCATTCGGCTGTTCACTGAAAAATCTTTTATTTTATTTTATTTCACTAAAATGCCATAGCGATTAAATGAAATATATATATTCAATATGATATGTATTATACTTATAAGAATATTAAAAAAATATATATGTACAAGAACTATAATACATACTGTTTTTTTAGGATTTAAATAGTATTATAATAAATTTTAAAAATCTTTATGAAATAAATGTAGGAAGAAAGAGTTCTTCCTTCAAATAAATATATATTGTATATTTTATATATAAGAAAAGAGTTAATAATGAATGAAATTGCCTTATAGTCAAAATAAATTAAATTAAAAATTATTATTTATTTAACATATATATGTTGAGT